AAATCAATCTTCCTAACTTACCAACAGTGAACTTGCAAAGCCATACAAAACAGCTGATGTAAATTCAAATAATAGTAGTGATAAAATTTAATTTCATTTTTTCTAATGGGGAATTCAGACAATACTTTTCTTTCAAAACTTTGTGAAATATGAGATGAATTGCTTTGTCAAATGAGCTACAAAATATTTCGATTATTCCCAGTAATTTTAACAATCGTGAATTATGTCTCTGACGCCGTTTGTACCATATCAACACATAACTTTATGATTGGACGCTGTTCCGTTTTCTTGAGCATTACGTGTGATTTTTCTGAACATATCCATCATCCCTCCAAGATATCAGAAAATGAAGACGGTCGACTCCTCTCATACACGATATATTTAATTTTTATTAAGTTTTGACTTGGTTTATAATAATATAGGTATATTTTTTCAACCCTTCATAAAAAAAAGTTGTAAGATTTTAACCCTGGGCCATACGCACATGACCTTAAAGATGGCGATTTTTTTTTTTTTTTTTTTTCTTTTTTTTTTTCTTTTTTTTACAAAAAAGTTATAATGTTGGGTTGCCTTAAGTTGTATGCAAAGTACAGCGATAAGGTTACCAGTGTCTCGAAACGCGGGGTACTTATGTAAGCATAAGGTTTAACAAATATGACTTTTAATAACGCATCAACCAGGGTCATGTTGAATTCATTCCTTTAGATCTAGTGGTTTCAGCTTTAGAACCTGACTGTTGATCATTTGGGGACAAACAACAAGAAGAAATTAAGATATGAAAATAATTCTCCTGAGTCTTTATATTGTAACGCTAAATATTTTTTATATCCAATTAAAAGACAAAACTGTACGTGTACAAAATTAAGCGCAATGACTTCCTATGGACTAGATGGCGTTACCATAAATCAACACTACAGATTATGGGTCCTTGCATTGTACTCAGTTATGATTTATTTACGGTATTCATAAATTAGCGCACTGTTGTCTGCGCCAAAGCCGCTAAAATATGAAGCCCGCTTTTTAAAGTACACATATAGTATCTTCCTGGTACGTACGTCAGGGTTGGGGGAGGTACCTTGAGATCCCTGGCCAAGAAGTTCAACTTTGCGATTTCCGAGATTTTAAGTATGATATATAAGCTCATAAATAGCCTATAAGTGGGAACCCCCCCCCCCACCCCCCACCCCCACCACCACCACCACACACACATACACCTTATTATTATACCACATTATAATTATTCTACACAATGCGTTATCTGATTGGTTCTAAATTGTCAAGTAACGGGGCCATAAAATTTCATATTTCCCTGTCGTCGTCATGCTTTTCATCATATTCAACCTCCTAGGAACACCACGCATTTTCTCGCAATACTTATAAATCGTTCGTTGACGAAAACTCGAGAGAACAACAGACATCACAAAATTTAAAATAGTAGTGTTGAATGCAATGACAAACAACAAGATTTTTATTATTAATATTATTTGATTTAGTAATAATCAATGAACTTGCAAATTTCCTGTCACAAAAAGGAGGGTGTAAAATAACTGAGTTAGAAAAAAAATTATAGATATATAAAATAAATTTTAAGTCATATTTGGGCGTATTTTTTGATAAGTTCAGGTAACCAAAATTAAAAAAAAAGATCTTTCTATTTGTTTTATTACTTTAGATAAGATAGGAGTTTCCTGTAAATTACACAATTTAAATCAATCATGTTTCAAAGACATTAAAATTTAAAGCAATAACCGATTTATTTACCGACTCCACATTAAAATAACAGACAATTTAAAGTCAATTTTTAAAACTATAGAAACGTGAGGTTATATAAGTTCAAAATCGGTGAAAATTTTTATTCGAACGTAAATAACATTTATCATATATATTTACACTAAGTCTTGTATTCAAGCTCAGATACGCCATAAATAGCTTTAAAAAATATTTTCAGTATCTTAGAATTTCATAAAATTATATGAAGCTGTCCCATTCAGAAGTTTTCATTTTAGTCGAACATTATTTTATTTATTCTCATCTTAACTTTTCTGAGGAAAACTTAAACAGTTATATGTATTTCCCCATTCTTCTTTCTTGAATTTAACCGCATTATTTCACTGTTCTCAGGGACATAAATAACACATACTTATGCCTCTACTGTTCTCAAGTATCATTTCAATTATTTTTTGAGAAGACATAAAAACATTTTAAATGGTTATGTTTTCTTTTTCTTTTCTATGTGATGGTATATAGATTTAATTCATTGAAAGATTATCATACTTAAAATACACTAAGTATAAGTATGTACTAATTAAGCTTTTGGAGAAAGGGTGTAAGTCCTATAATATTAAAATAATTCATCTGTGCATTGAAACATGTAAACTTTCCAGCATTTTTACAGATAATAAAAAGTCGTTAATTTGAGATTTTTTATATCTAAAATGAATCATCTGACTACAGTTTTCTTTTACTGTGAGAAATTCTCAATTATTTTTTATCAAATGTTTGATAAAACAACGTATTGTTTACAGTAAAATATCGAACGAAAGACTGAAAAATTGGAAAAACTTTTGGCGCGTCACTGTATGTTGTCAGTGTAAACAATGAGGACGTCTATATTTAGAGTTCGATGTACAACCTAGAGACGTTAGGTTTTTGCCTTAAAATTATCATAAGATACTTTTTTTTTTTAAATTTTTTATTTTTTTTTATAAATTTAACAACCCAATAACATCTCAGTTATATCTTTTAACAAAACACCGTCTGATATTTAGACATTTCATGTGTACATTTGCCTGTGTATTGGTTGCCTGGAATGAAAACGAAAGAAAAAAGGGTGGTCGCGGATACGCATTATTAAAATAATGCATTTTATCATTTAGTTTTCTACAAAATAAACATGTATTCGATTGTTATTTATTTTCTACGAATATGATTAAAATACCAAGCTAATATTCCATTCCCCTCACGTCAAGATCCGTATAGCAGACGACCGATAATATCAGCATTTGTAAAAATTCAATGTGGCCACAGCCCACGGCCAGAACGAAACCTGTATAAATCAATCCCTTTTATGCTTTAGTATTTTTGGTTAAAATATCTTCGTGGCCGATGCTTGTGGCCACATCGAATTTTCCCAAAAACCGGGTGAAAAGTGAAGAAAATTGCTTGTTTTCCGGATACGGCATAGGTTTGGATATTACATAGCAGCAGAAGAAGCTTGGATCCGCCCAAACGTTTACATATACAAGGACTAAGGATCATAAACTTTATAAATATACATGGTTAGTGAGGATACGCAGACTTTATTTTTCAAGCATTTTGCAGGGCCTGTTGACATTAGCTAACGTACCTAGCTCTTTATCAGTAAAATGTGCATATTCGGCACTGAGATCATCATGGCAACTAACCCGAAGTACAATTTGTATGTAGTAATAAACTTGCTTACATGTAAAGAGAAAATATTATATTGTTTAAATATAAGTAAAGCTGTTAAAAGATTTGTGCTTTAATGCATTTTAGTGGGTTTTTCTAAATACAGTCTTTTGTATCAAAAACCAGGCCTATACATAAGGTGTTATTTAAAAGCTAATTTTTACAAAATAAATGTGCTGACAAATTTATCAGTAAAATATGCAGATTCGGTTCGTTTACTTTTGATGGGAATGGAATAAGACCACCCGAAGTACAATATCTATAGCATAGTATAACAGGTATCAAAATTACGTCAATTGATTACATTGATATTTTTCAAGTTTTTACAAAAAAGGGAGGGGGTGTATCTACTTCTGCTCTGAAACTAACTGCGGGATTTTGAAAAAAAAATTCTTTCTTTATTTATTTCTTTCTGCTATTAGACTGTAAAAATTCAATTCCCCGCGCTTGCTCGGGATTTCATCTGGTATATTTAATGATAGATAAAAGAAAGGGCAAAAACACTGTTATCAAATAAAAAGAGATTTTATATTGTTTATTTGTTGAATACATACAATCATGCAGACATATTCGTACAGAAGAAATAGGAATGATAACCAACTTATCCGTTATCGTCTATAAAATAATTCAAGATATTATACTGAATGGTTGGGAGAGATATGAATCCATCATGTATGACATATTTAATATAGATGTGATTAAATCTCATCAAATCTACATATGTCTTAAAGCATAGATTTTCCTGTTATTTAATTTCTTTATGCATTTTGTATGGGTTTTGACGGCAATTAAAATGTTGGTGGCATTAATTGATCAGGAATCTTAATATTTAATTAATCCCGAGAATTCGGAACTAGTCACTATCATTTGCCTTATAAGTATCGAGCTGAATTGGAGAAAACATAATCTAAAATATGAAATCAATTTTTTTTTTAATTAAAAGAGGGGATAAGCAAAACCACTCAAACAACAAAACAAATTAAAGAAACGCATGCAGGCAAAAGGCTTTAAAAATATTCTTTGAAAAAAGAAAGTATGCATTCTGAATTGTGCGTGAAAAGGCTGATTTATTCATGCATTTATTTCATATCTTTTTTCTGGAAACACACAGATAAAAATCGGAATATTGCGTGTCACAAAAGCAAAAATATGATACTTCGTTTTCTAATTAAAATGTCAGTCTTTATTAATTGAAATTTCTAGATTTTAATTATATCTTTAACATTGGTAATGTCCCCATACTGATGTAGACATTGGGACTACTGGGCGAGAGCGGACTACGAGTCGCTGATTTTTATCATAATTAATGTCTGTTAGTGATTTCTCTATGTTGTAACGCTACTTTTTAACACCTTATCTTTAGAAAACAAGTAATTTGGACTTGACAGATAAATAAATTGATGTGGTCAATTTTGCATTACGCCTCCGGTGTTTTATCAAATGAAGCGAAAAATCGAGCGATTTAGAAGCAAAATGTGCAGCATGCAATGAGAGTAAATAGTTAGACTTCGACAGTGGAGAACATGGTACGAGATTTTAATCTATGATTTCTGTTTGATAAAATTTTCATTATGGATCCAGACGTGAGGAAAACTTTGATGGAACTTAATCGCCCAAGAGGAAAATTCCGGACCCAAGTGCTTAAAAAATCTCAAGAAAAAGTCAGTAAAAATATAAAAACATTTAAATATACCCGCGTGTTGAATAAAATACGGGAAAACATCCCAAAATGTACGTGTACAAGAGAACTTTCACGCGCTTTCTGTACGGAACTGTTTCCGTTTTGGGGAATTATGAAAAAATACAGCATTCGGAAATATCTTCTCGCAGATTTTGTAGCCGGTCTCACAGTAGGGATCATCCATATTCCTCAGGGTAAGATTTTTCGTCATTATCAACTCTGGCTTTTTTTTAAATTTACATTACATTTGAAAGTAAATGTTATTTACCTGTAAAATTTATTATGTCGATTTCATTAAAGAAAATTATGTGAATGTATGTAAGATATTTCTTTTCTTTTTTTTTTTTTTTTAAAAAAGCAACTTTTTATAGTCAGCGTCATTTAGTTTTATGCAAATATTTTTGGTCGTCCATATAAGGCTACTGCACTGTATCTTGCTTTTCATAAAATCAGTGTTAATTTGTATTTATTTATTTTAAAAGTGAAATTTTATGTATCTTTCGACAAGACATTTTAAATCATATACTTAGTACATATGCTGGCATAGAACCTTGAACATAGAACTTAATTTATCAAACATAAAAAAGAAGTATATGATAAATTTATCTTCAAATTCTTTGACAAAAAATGAAAGTAAAATGCTGAACTAAATTTGGATGATATCTTTTTTATCGAAATTGCAATTAAATCGTAAAAATGATTATGAATATCAAGATCTATATGTGAATTAAGGGTAATTTTGAAATATAACAAAACATAAGTTAAGAAATCTGAAAGCGCCTATTATGTGTCTCCAACCATAGAGAGTTCATATGAACCTTTACTGATCGTTGTCTGAATAAAGAGAGATCAATCTTTCTCGTGGTTGACTTGTTTCGCTTCATTAATAATGGTAGCATCGCTGGCTCGTATAATGATCATTTGTTTATTCCTAAACGATATATATATCAGAAAAAAATTAAAATGTTAGTCTGAAAGAATAAAAATATTTGTAATAATTATATCACACAAATAAACAACATTAATGTGCATGTATTTGTAGACAAATAAAAATTATTGAAAACCATTGATCCTTGTTGAAGTTGTGCTAAAAATCTTTTTTTTAATTACATGTAGCATCAAATTGATTGTTGTATACGTCTAATTGTGTGACTAGCTTTTTAAGTTTCGTAAGAGTAAACTAAATAAACGTTTTTTAGTTTGTTCCTTTTTTTCTTTTAGTCACAGAATATTGATAACATTCGAGTGAGAGTGGTTCTTGTCTTTTAAAACTATAATTTTGATAAATTATAAATACTTTCTAATAATAGCAACGATGCATATGGTTTCAACAGTGACTATTGCAAAAATGATTTACATATCCTTTAAAAGTAGAACTTTTTTTATGCCCCCGTATCGGAGATTCGGGGGTATATAGTTTTTGCCCTGTCATCCGTCTGTCTGTCTGTTTGTCCGCAAAATCTTTAACATTGCCCATAACTTTTGATTGGTTGGAGCTATGGCTTTCATATTTCACATATGTATTCCTTGTGACAAGATCTTTCTTTGGGTACCACCATATTTGACCTTTTGACCTTGACCTTGGAGTTTGACCCAGTTTTGCAAAATTTTACCCGACTTTAACCTTGGCTCTAACTTTTGAACAATTGGTGCTAGGGCTTTTATTCTTCACATGTGTAATTCTTGTGACAAGTCCTTCCTTTGGATACCAACAACTTTGACCCTTTGACCTTGACCTTGGAGTTTGACTTTTGAAAAACTTTAACATTGGCCATAACTTTTGAACGATTGTTGCTACGGGGGCATCAGTGTTTCACAAACATATTTTGTTTTGTTTTAGAATGGTGTTAACATTTGAGTGTCTCTAAGCTTATCTTGAAATAATGCAAAAAGAATTTAATGATAGAATAGTTTTACAACAAAGATGTAATTTTATGTATCTCAATTTCCCATCCAGAGCTATATATATCCGTAAAATATACGGTATGTCATATTTGTAATACTACCCTGAATGGAAAAACTTCGTTAAGAAAGAAAATTATGCCTTTAGATTCTTATCAAAATTACCAGCATAACATTTTATTCCCTTGAGGTAAAGTCAGAAAATACACAGAACCTTTTCAATAATTAATGATATGACAGTATTTTTTATTCGATTTTCGGAGTTACTAATGTACCAATTTCTTTTGATCTTCCGTGCATAAGCTCTATCTGTAAATGTATTAGTTTCTTACGCAATGCGCTTTCCCATTACTTTTATTAGTAAAATAAACGATCACATACCGTTACCGTTTCTCACTTTCAGGAATGGCCTACGGACTTCTGACAAACCTCCCCCCTGTGTACGGACTTTATACCAGCTTTTTCCCTGTCATCCTGTACTTCTTCTTCGGATCTTCAAAGAAGGTGTCCCTTGGTAAGTTACCAGAGATACAAAGAATGCAATTGCAGAATATACAATATTCAAGACCCTTTATCAATATTCTTCTGGAATGAGTGGGCCATAAGTGACCAGGCCCCAGGATCATAAAACGTCAAAATCTTTATGTTGTACTTAAATGTTGTAGAAATCACACACTCCAAAATCAAAATATTTATCAAGATTGCTTTCCAAAAGTGTTGTTATCTGCAAATTTAGAGATTAATTCAATAATTAATAAACATTTTACAGACGGTTGAAAATTTAACTTAGTCTGTTTTGTGATCCTGGGGCCTGGGGAAAAAGAATTAAATAATGGGATTTTTTAAAATTTCATGTGTTATTTTCACCTGGCGGATAAAAAGCATCTTGCAGTTAAGGCTTTATTTGTTCACATCATTTCAATCTGCCTAAAGAGACCTTATATATTTACTTATATTACAGTTGTACTTTTTCTCGTAGGAACTTACGCAGTAACGAGCTTAATGGTCGGAGCAGTAGTTCAAGAAAAAGCGGATATTTACCTTAAAGCAATAAACCCTACCACAGCCCCTATACCACCGTCCACCATAGTACCAGTCCTAAATAATACGAAAGGTACTCCATACAACATAGTCACAGCCAATACCACAGCGCTACCACTCGTCACTACTACGCGTCACCACCCGACAGCGGCGGATCTAACGGACGACGAACTCCGAGTTCGGGTCGGGCTGGCTATGTCCGTCTCATTTATGGCTGGAATGATTCAGGTGATTTTTTTCCCCTTATGAATTGAATATATATGTAAAATTCGTGGGGTACTACATGTGTTTCAAAAAATGAAAGACGCGGTTACATGCATTATATGCTATTTATAATTAAAACTGTCTAAAATTATAAATGAAAAATATATAATTATATATTTTTAGTGAAGTTCGTGTATACATTTTGATTTCATTAACTGTGGGAACTAAAGTCTAATTGCAATGCTCCTTTTTTAATCCCACAGAAAATTTCTTTTGATGATTAATTCAGAGATCGACATTGTAATAATAGAGTTTGTGTTTTGACCTCATTTCAAAACTTGATTGATTTTTTTAATTAATCGATTTCTTACATTTAAACCTTGTTTTCCAGCTGTTTTTGGGAAGTTTTCGTTTTGGCGGATTAGCGTCTTTCATGTCTGATCCGTTGATTAGCGGATTTACAACCGGAGCAGCCATACACGTGTTCACGAGTCAAGTCAAGTACCTGTTCGGAGTTCAGGTGTTCTCTTATCACGGCGCATTCAAGATGATCTACGTTAGTATGTTCTCTCACACCCCCCCCCCCCCCCAATTTTTAAAGAACAACAATGCTCTACATTTGAAAAGAAAACGTAAATAAAGTCCATATTAATTTGTTTTATTTACTAAAGTTACAGGAAATTTTGCTAGGTTGTACTTAAAAAGAGCAATTCTATGTACGTGTTTATAGTTGTAGTGAGTTCATGAACACTGTTCTAGGAGACATTTCGATTTTTGTATTTAAACATATTTTATTGAAACATAATCAATAGGATTGGACACAAGTTTTACCAACTTAGAATTGTCCTCTCGAACACAAACAAAATGACATATACATATACACGTGATGTACAACAAACAAACATGTCGATACAAGCTATGTACCGGTAACTTGTAGTAGGGTTTACTTTTGATGAATCTGGTCGTTAGTGATCACACGCGTCCTTTAAAGGGTTTTTATCACGTCTCAAAATTTTTTGATATGACAAAGTTTACATGCTATTAAAATCATATATTTTAACATCTTTACTAGAAAATTAATATTTTTGATGTTTCAGCGATTCAAAGTTTGAATTTCTCAATATGCATATTTTGATCGCCGATGTTACACGCCATTGCTCTGACGTCATAGGTGTCAATACAGGCCAAGCGAAGTACTTATTGTGTATACAAAAGGGCTCATTTGTTGTGTCTATTAAACCTGTTAGAAAATAATTAAGAGATAATTGGATAATTGACAGCTAGTATTACAACATTAATGTGTTACCTTTCGTTTGACTTCAGTTTTACCGGGACTTTTTCGGCGTACTTGATAAAGTGAATCCAGTAGCAGCGGTGGGATCAGTGACCACTATCTTCGTCCTCATTCTCATCAAGGAGGGAATCAACAACAACCCGACATGTAAAAAGAGCTTACCTGTACCTATCCCTATCGAGTTGTTCGTGGTATGCATTAATAATCAACACTATTATAGAATTTATGTACATATGCACTGTATTACTGTCTAAAAGTACCTGTATATACTTAATTGATTTTATTATCATATAAAAGCTGTCAATATGAAGAAAAATTATTTTCATATTGAAAAAAGTGAAGAAAACATATATACATGTAGTTCTCAAACTGATAAATCCTGCAAAGGAGGCTAAACGTACACAGGGCAAAACATGGACCCCTGATCCCCCCCCCCCTCCCCGAGGGGGAATCAGCCTTGTCCATAAGTGTAACCAGTTGTTACTTATAAAAAAAATCATTGACAAAAAATAAATAAAAAAATGACTTATAATTTTTCAATAATTGCTTTAAGGTTATAGGTGGAACAGTTATTTCTCATTACACGAAAATCAACGAAAAATTTGATGTGGAAGTTGTTGGTTATATCCCAGTCGGGTAAGATTTTTACCTTATTCTGCTAAAAGAGAACAGTTGTTTTTATCCAAAAAAGTAACCATTTCAATACTTTGCCAGATTTGCATTGTTAGATCGAGTCTAAATAAATCTCTCATTGTATGTTTTACCATACATTACAGAGTACCTGCACCAACATTGTCTCATCTGAGTTTCATCGGTGACGTCATTGGTGACGCGATTGCCGTCAGTTTCGTTGCCTTTGCTACGTCGTACGCTATGGCAAAAATTTTGGCAGAAAAAGATAAAGAAGAGGTTAACGCAAACCAAGTAATATAATCATGCGTTTTCTCTTTTTTAGGTCACCTGTGTTCCTTGGGTGACAATATTATATCACTTACCGACCTTAAATTTTGACCATTCTCAGTGTTTTCTCTGAAAGCTGAGCCAGTTTTATTTAGATTAATTTTGGTGCGGATTAAGGGCAACAAAAGCTTGTGGATTTCATGCTCCTGTCCCTAGAGTTTAGGGTTATAGGGTCAATCCTAGGGCTCAAACAATAAAAAGTGCAGTCATTTTTTGAAAGTCCTAGATCTACTAAGTATATTTATGTATCTAGAAGCAACCTATTTACATGAATATGGTAAGCAATTCAATCTGTCCTCTTGGCAAAATAGTGAAATTCATGACCCCTGCTTCCAGGATTTAGGGTGGAATGAAGTTGGCAATGTATTATGGGAATTTATTAAACTTTATATACTTTGAATTATATTTCATCACGTGAGAAACTCATATTACTCAGATGAGGCCTAATTAATTTTGTATTTACTTTAACAGGAATTGGTGGCCAATGGCTTGTGTAACGTAATCGGGGCCCTATTCTCGGCTTTCTGTTGTTCCGCCTCGCTGTCCAGAAGTCTAGTCCAAGATAACTCCGGGGGAAAAACACAGGTTTGCCGACTACTGATTTATACCAAGCCCCTATCTTTACTCCTGAAAAAATATTAATTGCTGTAAAGGAGAAACTTCAAGAAGTACTGTTCTAGAGTATATTCTGGAAGTGGTGTAAATCAATGATGAATTCTCAAAAACTCCAAAGAACTTTAAGAAAATTTAAAGTAATATTTTTTTCAAAAGTTAATAACATCGAAATATATCTTTTCTACACTCTATACTACAGAAGCCCATTAAGGACCTACATTATATATAAAAAGAAATTAAATTCGATATAACGAATTATTGAATTTGGTAAATCGAATTGAATTCATAATAACAATTATTTTATTTTTATATTAAATTTGTTTAAATGAATTCCAAAATTTGTTATAATGAATTAAATCTGTTTAAATTAATTCCTGAAATTGTTATACGAATTAAATTCGTTTAAACGAATTCGACAATTCGTTACAACGAATTCATAAATATTTTTTCTACAAGCCCTAAATATCGAATTTCATTCGACAAATTTAATTCGTTATGACAAGTTTTAGAATCCGTTTAAACAAATTTAACAATTCGACAATTCGTTTTTTCGAATTCAAAAATATATTTGATTTATAGGTCCTAAATAGGATTCTGTATTATGCAACCATTCCTCAATATAAATTAAAAACTAGATTTTTTATGTCATAGACAACTGCTCCTTAAAGTAATAAAAAATTGAATTCAGAAATCTTCATATCATGTGTTTGGTCATCAACAAAATTACTTTATTAAATATCAATCTGGATGTTTGAGTTCTTCATTGACGATGTCTATGTAGCCTTTGGAGATCAGGTCTTTCAACAAACTGTTGTAATTCCAATGGGTACAAATTCTGATCCTTAATTAGCCGACCTGTTTTATATTCCTATGAAGAAGAAATTATTCAGAAACTTCTACATGAGAAGTAGAAAACACTTGTTGTGGCCTTCAACTCGAATTTCAGATATATCAACGACGTTTTATCAATTAACAATAGTTACTTCCATTAATATATCGACTCTATATATCTCAGTGAACTCGAAATAAAAGACACCACAGAGTCTGCCACTTCTGTTTCATATTTGGATGTTTGATAAAGGCCAAATAACAACTGAATGACAAATGAGATGACTTCAGCTTTTCCATCGTCAACTTTTTTTTATTTATGTGAAAATATTCCACAACACACGTATATAATGTTTATATCTTCCAACTGATTCGATACTCAAGAGCCAGCTCCGAGTACGATCAATTTTTAAACCGAGCCAGGCTACTGACAGAAAAGTTGATGTTACAGGGATTTTTAACGACCTTGCTTAAAGTCAGCATTTTGTAAATTCTATGGTCATTACAATGACCTTGTTCGCAAATATATCCTATCATTGTATTATTTTTGACTGACATATTTCCAGTTGTTAGGCCTTTTGTTTCTATACTATGTTTGACTACGGAATATTCCTTCTACCAGATCAATACATAGGGCTCACGGCGGGTGTGACCGGTCGACAGGGGATGCTTACTCCTCTTGGGCACCTGATTCAAACCTCTGGAATTTCCAGAGGTCCGTATTTTATACAATGTTCACAGATTTGTATTGTTTGTATAATTATTATTATTTTTTTTTTTTGGAGATTGATCTTTCTTCGCTATCTTAATCTTTTTCATATGCCCATATTATAAAACAAAACAAAAAAAAAAAAACGTGTTGAAGTTCGCCAGTTTCATTGACGTTATTTCATTTGATAAGCATGCATATGATGGATGTGTTTCTTAATAAAATGTTACTTTTATGCATCAAGCTAAGATATTATAAGAGTATATTAAAGCAATTACCACGCAACATTATTTTAACATTCCCGGATTTCATAACTAACTTTTTGTGATTTACAGGTTGTTGGCCTTGTCTCGTCATTACTCGTCTTTATAGTCATTGCTTATATTGGGCCTATGTTTTCGAGTCTGCCGAATGTAAGTATGCTTAATTGTAAAATTTTATCCAAAGTTGCTTAACAACAAAGAAAATTATCAATATATTATCGGAAAATAAATTGATTTTTATGAAATATTCATTTGCAGTTAAAACAATATTTATTCAGAAAATCTGAATGGAATAGACAACAGACAATGCTTATAAATACCCTCTCTAACAAAAAATGTCAGGTTTACGTATACAAATGAACTGAATGAAACCATTTAAAGAATGAATGAAAAAATAAATAGAATACACAACCAGATCCCGATTAATATGACCATGCTGCTTAATTAATATAAATGGCATTTAAAATTAGAACATTTATTTCAATATTAGGTGATCATAAAAAAAAGTTTTGTTGATCTGATATATTCTTGCCTACATGTAATATTGTAATTCATTGGAAGAAATAACCCCATACCTCTATTCAAATGAGTCCTTATATGATAGTACGCAAAGGTCAAATAAGTCTTCAACGTTTACTTCTTTGTGTATCAGCTGAAGGACACATTATAAATCATAGTCATTATCTTCATTGTAGTAACCGCATCTAGGACAAGATGTATTATTTTTAGGTGGGGATTTTTAACATAAAATTATTATACACTCAGTCCAGATGCTGAGTCTCCCTAAGTCAGGGTTACCTTTTTTACTATATCACAATGGAAATTGTGATAAATTCTGAAAATCAAAGGAATATCTTCTGTTTATCAATCAATCTATACCAGTGTTTACGCTGATCGACCTGTCGTTTGTATCCATTAATATCATAAAGTGTTACTGTAATTTTTATTTGGAATGTGTCCTTTCATAATTAAGCTATTATAAATTGATTACCTATTTCATTATGGAGGGAATGTATATTGATTGTGTCGGGAAAGGGGACAAATACTTTACTCTACGATTTCCACATGATTTGCATTATTTTCTTGGTATTTGTATAGAATAATCATTTGTAAATGTGAACACTTTGGTCGATTTACTTGAAATATTAATGCATTGGGTAGTTATTCCAGGAAACAATTTTGATGAAACACAATTTTATACTTCGAAACCAAACTATTACCTTCTTGAATTGTTTTTAGATTTTTTTAATCCAGACTAGCTGCTATGACCTTACTGTATCTAGGATTTTTTTAATTACGGTTATTTTTAAATTACATAATCTCTTATAATAAGTTGTGATCAAACTTTTGAAAAATCTTTTTTAAAAAATAACCTAGTTTCATAAGTAAGACCAGAGAATAATTATAGCTACAAGCAGAAATATCCGTGTAAACAGAGACATGTCAAATATTCCTCAGCATCATGTTACCTTAGCATGTATAAATATAATCCGTGTCCTTTTAAAACACTGGGTTAAATTAACAAAAATTGTCGATAGATTTGTTTTCTTTTTTGTATCAGGATTCTATAGTATTTATATTAACAAATGCTATTTGTAAAACAAGAAAAATCGAACAATTCTTTGTCTAAGCAATAAATTGATCAAAAAAAAGGGGGGGGGGGTAGAACAAGCACAAGGGTTCTTTTTTCGGAAAGGGGGGGGGGGGGGGCACTAAGAATAACTAATAACTTATCATAAAATCAAACAAGTGTGATTAAATCTGTTTCAAGTAGGATTGATTTTAGGGAAACGCATTTACACATACAAGTCTCATAAAATTAATAGAACTATAAATATATTTTCAGACTTTTCCCAATTCTCTTGATTATTTTTCATGGATTGTAAGGTTTATGAAAGCATAAGAAGAAACTGAGTAGGTCAAGCAAACCCATCTGTCAAATCTACTTTTATACTGGTGTTGTCAAATAAATGAATTGAATTTATTTTACCATTCAAGAGATGATCCATTTTTTTCATATGTATTATAGCCAGAGAAACTTGTGAGATTCAGTAAAAAGAGAAAAATGAAGAAATAAGCTTTACTCTTATGTACCCCCCTCCCATATTAAGCTATAATTACGTGTTGAATTTGATTCATAACAGTAAGTTCATTCCATTTGTTAAATGCTTTCTTCTCACACACCCTCAAAGGCACTCACCGTTAAACTCGCTGTGTGATGAATGCACATTTGTTAATACCTTTTGTTTGATGCGGCCTTCTCACATACTCGATACACAAACACTATGGACTATAATAAGCCTTGTCAATGAAACATTCCTCATATTGTCTTCTGTTTTACACGACTTTTCTCTTGGGGCAAATTGTAACCCGAGTTCATACCATGAGATGATTATGTTATATTAATTAGACTATTGTGAGAACCGGTTATTCACTACATGTCCTGAAACAAAAAAAATAATAATTCATCGGTACAGAAGGATGCCATTTAGGTTATTAAAATATGTAAGGCACGAGGGATGATTGGTGCATGCAAGACAAAGACGAGCATCAGGGGAGGGATAGAGGGTTATTGTAGAACAAAGAGAATTACCGGTGAATATATTACAGTAGACCCTGATCAGACCCAGTCACTTGTCACAAAGGAAAACACTCAAAGTCATTATCACAAAGTGACGTCGATTCTACAGGGCAGATGAATATTTTAAGACGCACTGTGTAAAAATTTTACAGACGACTTTAGATGTTGATGGAGATTAAGAGACAACATAATGATGGATATGCAAGAGAGGATCTGAAGAGGATTATACAGTCTTTTATTTTCTTTTGCAGTGTATTCTGGCATGCATCGTTATAGTAACACTCAAGGGGATGTTCCATCAGTTCCACGACATGTTGTTTCTATGGAGGTTATGCAAGAGAGACTTTGTAAGTAATTCCCGGCAAAGGCAGCTATGAAATAACCAAACTGGAACCGTTCCATTTACACGACTCTAACTCGTCATAGAGATAGCGCGCGATTGCTTAGAATGGTGAATGTTTGGAAACTATTAATTTGATTGGTCTCGTATGATGCGATTTAGATTTTAGAAGAATATGTTGTTTCTGGATTAAAATACGATTAATTTCTTGAAAAAAAGAACAACCTTCAACACGACACAAATATTGTAAGTGGAAATATAGATACTGCAAATAACAAATATATCAGTTTTGAGATCATCCTAACCCTGAACAATATTGATGCTTCCGAGACATTGTGGGATTTGATTCTCTACTGTAGTTCATGGCGTATCATAAAAAGGAAATTAATCGTGTGGTCTGGGAACTATAAATGTTAATCCTTCCCAAGTAAATTGAAGTTTTGTGGTGTGTTATTACTCTCTTGAACTTTTGGGCCTTTTTTCATTAAAAGTTGATTAAAAAATAAAACATAATTAAATGACATTGTAAACATTATGCAATGCAGAGAGGACATACAAAAGAATTTGATGACCAATTAGTTAAATGAGGTTCATTCATACACTTTTAGTAATGCTAAATACTCCACAATTATCGACAAACAAATCATAACAATTTCATTTGGAATACAATATTTACTACCGCCTGGAAAAAATATTGGAGAATAATAATAATAGTGCGAACATAGCGCGAAAATACATTGTAAACTGTGCAGCATATATCTATTTGTGTGATGAAACAATGATTAAATGACCTACGTGAGAACGATGATAAACAAAAGGGGTCCTGTTACCTATATAATCCTTCAGTGACAATCTCGAATATATTCATCTCGATCATTAACGCTCGCTTTTCTGGGACAATGGAAATGTTGACATAGTCCCGGGCCACTAGTTCTGAATGTTTAAAACACAGGAATATGACATGATAGGTCTCCAAACAAATCAGAAACAGTTCCACAGAGAAGACATCACCGATAATCTCAGTGAAATGATACTCTGTCAAATGGAATTTTTTGCATGCAATTGTTTTTATCAATTAAAATGAATGCATTAACAGAAATTTTGATGTGTTTCTATGGATAGCGATGGTTTTACGTCATTTTGATGGAGGAATCTGAGGTAATTTATAAACTTATTCGTACATGTATACTATCATCAGTTTATTTCATTGCTTTTCGTGATCTTTATCTTTGCACGATGACTGTGTTTATGGAATCAATCGTATTGCAATAAATACACTGCAATGTATCTAGTTATATGTTGAATTTAGAGATTCTACGTTTTTGAATTATTTATCAACTTTTGTAATGGCATATAGCTTTACTATTGTTGAATAAACAACGAGAATTTGAAAATCGATTAACGATTAGTAAGTGTGAGAACCAATTCTAAATAATTTGAGAACTGTGTCACAAAAATCTATAATTTCTCGACAAGCATACATACAAAATTAATACTCAAGCTGTCTCTCCCCAGCTTCATTCATAATTCATTTTACAAAAAAATAAAGATCAACTTATAAATTCCACAGTCTTATTTTTTCATAATTATTTGCTTTGCTGCAATTTTGGTTCAGAGAAAAAAATCAATTAAAAATCAAGAATTTTTTTTTTTAAACCATCACAGAAATTAAAGATTAAAGCTTCCTTTCTTTTAAAATCCACTATTCCCTTCCCCCTATAAAAATGTACAATTTGCTGTATATTTTCTTGTCATACATTTAGTGTACTCCTAAAACTTTTGTGTCCCAAACGGATGCTATCATTGTGCAGATTAAGTTTTTTGAAAATAAATCCACTATATCCTTAATCAATTAATTCAAAATAAAATTGATGAACCTCTGACCACAAGCCATCCATCACATAACTTTCCGAATTCTTGATTCTGTGCATTCAGGGAGGGGGAATGGGTAGCATTATGTCCAAACTTGGTTTCCTTATTACATGTAATGGCATAAGACTTGAAACATGTATACATATTAATCAAACGAATTTATGTTTCAGGATGCATAGCAATTTAATTTAAATTTTTTGTTTCTATTAGAAGCTGCTTATGCAAAAACTTCTGAACGTCTATATGATTTTTTCATGAATATTGTTTTTAAAATGTTTCTCTGTGCATTTTTCTAAATTTTGGGTTTTTGTTTGTTTGTTTTTCTTTACATGAAGTTTAAGCCACTGCTAACGTGACTTCAGTTACTCTGACTCTTACAAATACTTTTAGGATGTTCAATTATTAATAACTAAAACCACTTCAGTTGTTTATTTTTCATTTGTTTTATTTGTTCGCAGTCGCACATTTGCACAAGTACAGGAAGCGGGTTGTAAATGTCTAATGCATTTTTAATCCAGTGAAATAGAACTCAAAATTCTTTACTTCCATTAAAGATTTTTATAGTTTTCTCGACAACGAAAGCTTTAAAATTTCAGTACAATATTTGATAAGTGTCTTTTATGATTGTATAATATTAAAGTATTCATATGTATTCATAACATGTAAAGAATTAAATGTGAAGTATTCTAGTTGTCATATATTCTAATTCGTGTTTTGGGGTTTGTCTTACTTAACTCTGTTTTGTCGTTGCAGGCTGTTTGGATGGTGACGTTTCTAGCCACGGTGATTCTAGACGCTGGTCTTGGACTTATGGTCGGGGTGATATTTGCTTTATATTTTGTACTCCGTAACACACAGAGGTAAGACTATTGAAAGGATGAGGAGTGTATGGAAACTGCATGTCTAGTAGAAATTCTGATATTGGACAAAAGTAATTAATATTAGATAGTAGGTACATTACCATAAGATAGGCTCGTCTAAAATCTTCTAATGCTTATGAACATTTCCATAAGATTGGTTTGTTTAAAGTCTTCTGAAGCTAATGGTTCCTTTATTTCTTCGGTAGGCCTTACATTTGTGCCATGGGACGTGTACCAGGAACGAACGCCTATAAGGACCTGAAACTCAGTAGAACCGTATGTATTATGTTAACAACATGAACAATACAGATCTAAGTACATTACATTTGGAAATATATATTACATATTTATCAAATAGCAAAATCTGGTAAAAGAAGAATAACAAACTTAACAATATTATCTGTAAAAGTAAAAATACTCTGATATGAAACTCAGATGAAAGGTATATTTCTAACAATTCAAAGATAAAATGAAAAGATTACTAAAGATAATCATGTTCAAAAGTCCTAAAAATAAGACAAATTCAGAGATGAGATCCTTTGCCATGGAGATCATTTGATCGACGATAAAATTTTCCAAATTTTGACTTTAATTAAGATCATTGATACCCTTGTAACACCAACTTATTTGTCAGAGGCTTGTGTCGGTTTAGAAACGTGTTCTTGTGTATCGAATAAACTGGGAGACAAAAACACCAAAAGCAGGTGATAATTGTACATTGCTACATAGGTAAGGAAAATGATGGTAGAAAGTTTATCATAAAGTTATGTTGTTCTCTTTCTCTAGTACATCATCCAAATATGAAACAGATCTTTCAGACTCTGTAGTGTCTCTTACTTCGAGTTCATTGGGATACATTTATATTGAATCAATATATGAATGAAAATGAAGATTGTTAATTGATAAAACATCGTCGATATATCTAAATGTGAAATTTAAGGCCACAGCAAGAGACTTTTTTTTATTTTCATACATAGGTTTTTGAAAAAATTCTTCATAAGAATGCAAAAACAGGTCTGCTAAGAAAGGAGTTCAGTTAGTACCCATGGGACTTACTACTGATTGTAGGAAGACCTTGTCTTCTAAGACAACATAGATATTGTCAGCTGGGAACTCCAACATCGTTTTAATATCAACCTAAGAGTACAGTGTACTTTTATGTGGAATTAGAATGGTTTTTTAACAAAAAAAAAATCATGTTTGTAAATGACCATAATTTGCAAGTTCTACCTTTATTGAAGAAACGGTTGTATTCATGTTTGAAAAAACACCAAAATTTGTTTGCAAAGTATTACTGATATTTCTCTTTCACTGCTTTTAATATTTTTGTGGAAAAAAGGCTTGATAAAACATGTACATTTACAAGAATATATTTTAAGTTTTGGAAATGGTGTAGTAGAGGTAATTTAAATTCAATTTGGCTGTTAGGAATAATTAAAATAACTGTAACTGACATATGCTTTTGAAAAATCTTCTCCCTAGAAAGGAAACAGAATGTATAAATTGAGTTACCAATTGTAGAATTATAAATCCAAGTTCCCTAAAATGCAGTTGTACTTTACAAACGGTCGCACCTTACAAACAAAGACTAAATTAATACATGTGCTCAAAAAATTGCGTCGAGAGGATTTCAAACTTTTAAGGTTGTCTCCTTCTCAGGTTCTTATCTTCAGCAGTTAAGCAAGAGAAAATGCTAACAAAAATTTACTGAATTCAAAGTAATGTCAATATACCAATTTTCTTCAAAGTTCGTCGTTATAGATAATGATATTATAGGGAAAATTATCAAATCTCAAATATATTTTCAGGAAACGGGAATAAAAGGCACCAAGTATGCCATTTTCTAATTAAAAATTGATCAACAAATATATCTTAGGATAAAAAGATATAGGTATACAGGCATTCGTGGAAAATGGCATTTTTTTTTATACTTATGCGGTATTTTAGTTCTGCTAACTTCAATTGTTGTACAAAACAAAGTCTAAAAAGCTTATGATACATGTATTATTGCAAGATGTCACAAATCACTTTCAGTTTCTTTTTATGCTATGAGAACAATCTATCCTTCTGTATACAATAATCCAGAAGTGAAAAAAAGAATTAGATAGATTACATGATGAGTACGTACTGGTCCCTGCTGACAAAGCAGGTAACAACATTGTCTTTGTTTGTTAGGCTCATTATATTAATTGTATTTTAGAAGAGCTTGGATTTAATTCTACAAGTGGTAATCTAACTTATACCCATAGTTCTCTTTCTAAGGAAGAAATTCTTCAAAATCATATGTCAGTTTTGAATATTTTTTAATATTCCAAACAACCAAAATGAATTTGAATTACCATATCTATATTGGATTCCGAAACTTAATATAAATCCTTTCAAACAAAGATACATAGCGGGTTCCAGTAAATGTTCAACCAAGCCTCTTTCTTTACTCCTCACTAAGATATTAACAGTGGTGAAGGAGAAACTTCAAGAGTACTGTGCAACAATATATTCGAGAAGTGGTGTAAATCAGATGTGGATACTTAAACATTCCAAAGAACTTTTGGAAAATTTGATATCACAAGATTTTACCAAAATCAACAACTTTAAAACTTACGACTTTTCAACTTTATACACAACCATTCCCCAAGCTAAATCAAAGTCCAGGCTTTTTGATATCATTGACAGCTGCTTTTTCAATAAAAATGGAACTCGTAAATTTACTTACTTTGTCATTGGTCATTTACAAAATTATTTTGTTAAAAAAAATTCTGATTGTACACACAAGTACTCTGAAGTTGACAATAAAAAGATGCTTGAGTTTCTGATTGACAACATCTATGTGGTTTTTGGAGACCAGGTCTTCCAACAATCTATTGGAATTCCCATGGGTACCAATTGCGCCCCGTTATTAGCAGACCTTTTTTTGTATTCATATGAAGCAGAATTTGCCCAAAATCTTTTTCGTGAAAAGAAAACACTTGCTGTGGCCTTTAACTCGACATTTAGATATATCGACGACGTATTGTCAATTAACAATGGTTATTTCCATTCTTATGTTGATACAATGTATCCCGGTGAGCTTCAGATAAAACATACCGCAGAGTCTGACACATCCATTTCATATTTGGATATTTTACTTGAAAAAGACATTAATGGTAATCTAACAACCAAGATTTATGATAAACGTGATGACTTTAACTTTTCAATCGTCAACTTCCCTTACTTATGCAGCAATATACCTTCATCTCCTGCATACGGGATTTATATCTCTCAGTTAATTCGATACGCAAGAGCATGCTCTACATATGTACAATTTCTTAAACGAGGTAAGTTATTGACAAGCAAGTTAATGAAACAAGAATATCAGTAGTCTCTTTTAAAGTCGTCATTTCGTCAAGTTCTATGGTCGATACAATGACCTTGTCAGAAATACAATTTATCATTGAGTCAAATGCTGACTGACGTTTTTGTCATACTAATTGTTAGGCCATTATTTACACACTGAATTGTCGACGGATTTTTCTGTTATTTCCCGATCATGACAAGGAGCACACGGCGGATGTGACCAGTCGGCAGGGGATGCTCACTCCTCCATGGCACCTGGTCCTACCTCTGATGTTTTGGAGGTCCATGTTTGCTCTGCTCCTATTTTGTAATATTTAATGGACTTTTGAGCTTGAATACTGTTCGTCATCTCCATATAATTCATGTTAAGATAACGAACAGTTATCAATTTCAAAAGTCCATTTAAACAATACAAATTATGAGCAGATCCAACACAGACGTCTGAAAATAGAGGTTCGATCAGGGCACGGAGGAGTAAGCATCCCCTTTGACCGATCATAACAGCCGTGTGCTTCTTGTCATGATTGGGTAAATGGGAAAATCTTTAGACAAGTCATTGTATCAACCATGCATAGAATTTGCGAAATGTTGAATTGAAACAAGATTGTTAACATCCTTGTATCATCAACGTATTTGTTAATAGTCTGCTCATTTTAGAAATTATTCCTAGGTAGAACATGCCCTTGCGTATCGAATCAACCGAGAGACATAAATTCAATTTGCAGGTGATCGTGGTATATTGCTACATAAATAAGGGAAATTGATGATAGAAAAGTTGAATAATGTTTCTCGTTAAGTTTATTTGTCAATTTGCCATCAATCTCCTTCTGTATCTAAGTGGAAATTAGATTTCTTTCAGTATTTTTGTACTTTTATGGGATGCAATTGTCTACTTTTTACAGGACCACTTCTAAAACTTTAAAGTACCTTGAATTATAATAAGATGCTTGAAATGAAAATTTTTGCAAGTAAACTTTCATTTTCAAACTTCATTTTGGGACTTTTTTCAATTAAATAATTATATCAAGAGCTATTAAACATTGTTCCTGACTGAAGAGCGGATATCTTTAAGTAAAGAACCAAGCTAATGCAAGTTTGTTTAGCCGTGTCCTCATGTTACCAGGAAACAACTTGATCTTCAAAATATTCTTTAGTTTGAACACCATTGCATTTTGGAATATTGAATATGGAAGGCAGATGGCTTTCTTGAAAGTTTCTTTATAAATAGGCTTCTCATGCATGCTACCAAATCATTTTGTTTTAGTAATTGTAATATGTAAGGAGATACGTACATTGACACCATATAGCACCCCTCACATGTATATAAAAATATATTTCATATTGCATCTAAATTCCTGGAAAACGATTTAATTTCTAGGATGATAGTATTTCTCGGGAAAATTACGAAGATAAGTTCAAAATGTTGACACTTGCATAATAAGATTTGGACTCGCTTGCGGGTTGTCGATTTGAATGAAATGCTACATGTATTCGGGCGCGCATATTATATATAGATATGTCTTGAACTTGGTACTGTGAGAAGCTATAATAAAGACTGAACTATGAATTTCTCAATATGCAGTCCCATTCCCCTACTCGGAGTATAATTCCAGCAGTACTCGCAATTGAACATTTCATTTTACAGTTAATCCAGATTCCTGGAATCAAGATATTCCGTTTTGACTGTAACCTCTATTTTGCCAATGCTGAACAATTCCGGGATCGCCTTTACGAGAGAACGGGACTAAATCCGAGAAAGCTGAAAAGGAAGAAACAGAGAGCCTTATATAAAGCAATGCTAAAACGAAAGCGGGAGATCGAGCTGGCTGAGATAGAGGAAGCGGCAGCGATCAAAAAAGAAAAGGTATTATAACAACTGGCGCGAGGCAGTCCGAATGGGTCAGGGTGTATGGAGGGGCGTCTTTTAATGTCCAGTATATATACGCTTCCATAGATATTTTGAGACACGTTTAGAATAATTTACTGATATTAATTTGCTCATGATAAAAAAAATATTTTAAAAAATTGAGGAACTTAAAAACAGTAAATCTATTACTCGGTTAAACTCTATAAAAAATGGGGAACCTGGAAATTTATATACGCTTTCAAATCTGGGTAATGAATTCTTAAAAAAGGTTCCTTATCTATCCAGAAACAGCTTTTAAGACAGAAGAGTTCTATCGAGGAGGACGTGGAGAGGGACGATGACGACGATAGAGAGCTGACAGACGAGCAGCAGACAGAACTACAGCTAGAGAACGGCGAGATGCAGACGAGATTTTCCCGCGCGTGGGTACCGCCTGTTCACACCGTGGTGCTGGATTTCTCCGTCATCAGTTACGTGGATAGTGTAGCCGTTAAAGTTCTCTCACAGGTAGTTAAACAGGGAATTTACTCACAACAGTTTATGTACATTAACTTTTCACATTTTATCTCTCACAAAAATATTGTTTTGACAATAGTGTATGTCGATCATCGCACGATTGATTGATTGATTGTATGTTGTTTTACGTCCCATTCGAAAATTTTTTATTCATATAGAGACGTCACCATATACCGGTGAAGGGCTTCAAATTTTGACCTTTACTCGGCACTCAGGGCAATTAAGCAGTGAGGGATCTTTATCGTGCCAGCGCCTGTCGTGACACGGGGCCTCGGTTTTTAAGGTCCCATCCGAAGGACACGATATATAAAACATTTGTACCTAACTGTTCAGAAAAAATAGATTATAATTTAATCATTTTTCTTTCCAGATTATCATGGACTTCAAGGAGGTCGGCATCAAAGTTTTCTTGGCAGGATGCAGAGGTATGGAGCATATAACCATTGATCAAAATCACCAAATGTTATTTATCTTGCAGGGCCAAATCAATTGTTTATTCTAATTTATTTACTCAACATTTATGTATATTTCAGAGGATGTGAGGAAGATAATTAAGAAATCCGAGTTTTACAAATCAATAGACTATAACTGTCTCTACTTTACCATACATGAAGCTGTGGTGATAGCTCAAGAACTCCACCAGCAAGTGGGGGTATGTACTTATAGTTTTTTGTAATAATATTGCATATTTGAATTAAAAGAATCTGTATTTTATTTTTTTAATTCAAGTTTATGAGCTTTTTCTTTTCCAAGAAAATTATTTTTACATGCAGATATGGACAACTAAAAACATTCAAGTACATGTATTTCAAAAAATTTATATAAATTGACACCAATAAGTCAACGTAAAAACTATTTTCAGTTTACTATAAATTATCCCATTGTCTCCTTTTATCAGGATCCACCACTAAGTCCCAAAGACATTTTGATAGTGGAAGAAGAAAGCAGGGAGGCTAGTGCTAGATTGGCAGCGTATGAGGGAGACGATGAAAAAGTTCACAAGGATATCCCCCAAGTTGGTGCTAATGAATAGGTAAATTTTATTCCAAAGAAATTAAACTAAGATGCAACATGATCAAAAACCATACGATAAACAATTGTACTGAAATAATGTATATTAATTGAATTTTATACAGTGTTCCCAGAAATCATTGAGATTTTTCATACGTTTATATTTTTTTTAAATATTGTAAAAATTGAATATTTAATAGTTGAAAATCACATTTTCATCAAAGAACATAATGTACTTCCTACTTTCGCATTGCATGCAAGTTTTCATGAATTACTTACCTATTACCTAGTTTGCTTCCTGTCAATTACAAATGTTCAAAATCAGTGCTCTGACTTGTTCTCATAATCCTCTTTGTTCTATAGTTTTCCTGGCCTTCCAACACTTCACTTAATTGAATTCCTCTTCTTTCTCAATATTTTGTTCCACACAATACAAAGAAGTGAAATACTCATAAGTGTTTCAGAAATATCACCAGGTTTTACAATCCCTTGATAATAAATACCTTAAATAGGCTATCTGTTCTCAACAGCTTTCATTTTGAACAATGGCAGACAACAGGAAATTAATAAAATGAAAGAGGTTACCTATGAACATTGCATGTATAGTAAGAAAGTAGGGGATATTGTAATTTGATGAAAAAACTAACCATTTTTGTTTATTTGTATACTTAGGTGAATACAACGAATGATCAAACTATCTCAGGATTCCAGATTTCCATCTGAAGTGAAGATAAACTTCAGCACGTCTATATTTGTACATGATGAAAATGACTATGAAATGTATATTCATGAAAATAACATTTACACAACTCGCCTTCACATAAGAGACCAACAGTCCGAAATTACAGAATAGTTCCTACTTTGTATCTTGTCTATAACTAAGTGTATATGATTCGTGTTCACTTGTGACAAATATGTTAAAGCTGTACAAGCAATACTACATGTAGTAATCCAACACTTCATCAACTTACTGAAGCTTTCATTTACAAACTTGTCTCCTTAATCTTGTTTCTTTTTTTCTTTGCTTTTCACACAAGAAAGAATAAACACTTTGAACACATTCTTCTTCTGATTCCTTCACAACAGGTGTATCATCAAGCTTCAAAATGGGTTTTTCAAGTTGTGTACAAATGTATTAATAATGTCCTCACACTTGCATTTTCCATATCATTTTCATCAACTTCTGAATACATGTACAACAATGTTTTTCTTCCATGGAAAAATAAAATTCCACAAAAAATGTTTACCATAATGGATTTACTGTTAACCATCAAAACAAACATACAGTTTATTAATGGTAAATGTGCATTAAATGTCAATAACAACAATATAATGATTGCATATCAGTTACATCAGCTTAAAAAATTATTGGTAAATCAAAGCTAATACCCATGTCTCTAATGCAATATCCTTTTCTGCTAGTTCTCCAAAATATCAATCATCCTTACAATGTCCAAGTTAAAAGATTTCATGCATCATTATTAATATATATCCATTTACTTCTGAATTGTCTGTCACAGTCTACATCCTTTGTAACTCTGTGTGACTTTCGTATTATTAGATCACATTCCTCATGCGTCCACAATCTCAGTACTGAATGCTCTGTGATTCATCAGATGCATTACTCTGGTTGTCCAACTCCTAAATAGAAAATGGTTTCTTCATATAATAGTGCATTCTAAATCATTACTCTGGTTGTCCAACTCCTGAATAGAAAATGATTTCTACATATAATAGAGCATTCTAAATCATTACTCTGGTTGTCCAACTCCTAAATAGAAAATGATTTCTACATATAATAGAGCATTCTAAATCATTACTCTGGTTGTCCAACTCCTAAATAGAAAATGGTTTCTACATATAATAGAGCATTCTAAATCATTACTCTGGTTGTCCAACTCCTGAATAGAAAATGGTTTCTTCATATAATAGTGCATTCTAAATCATTACTCTGGTTGTCCAACTCCTAAATAGAAAATGATTTCTACATATAATAGAGCATTCTAAATCATTACTCTGGTTGTCCAACTCTTGAATAGAAAATGATTTCTACATATAACAGAGCATTCTAAATCATTACTCTGGTTGTCCAACTCCTGAATAGAAAATGATTTCTACATATAATAGAGCATTCTAAATCATTACTCTGGTTGTCCAACTCCTAAATAGAAAATGATTTCTACATATAATAGAGCATTCTAAATCATTACTCTGGTTGTCCAACTCCTAAATAGAAAATGATTTCTACATATAATAGAGCATTCTAAATCATTACTCTGGTTGTCCAACTCCTAAATAGAAAATGATTTCTACATATAATAGAGCATTCTAAATCATTACTAACATTCAAAGCTATTGCACAATCATAATTTTTTTTATCAACATGTAAAAAAAAAAAAAACTTATAGGTTTTAAAAACAATATATTTTACAGTTATCAAATCCAATAACATTTAATCAATATACAATCCATTAGTAGAAAATTGACCAGTCAGCAAGGGCCCCACAGAGGGATATACATCTAAAGATGCAGTTAAAGGAATAAGAGTATGTTAAATTGATAATTAGGAAGGAAACCTAAAATAAATAAAGTATGAAGTATGCACTTTTAAAACATCACTCTTACTTGACCTTTAAAACAAAGATCACTTGCAGAAAGGGTATCCAGTCAACTCATACCCAAACCGACTCGTACCCAAACCCAGAGTCAACTCGTACCCAAAGCTTAAATGTCAAAAAATAAAATCATAAAAAGAAACAATTAATTGTTTTCAAGGGTAAATATATAAGTTCGCATGATTCTTGTATTTTATTTCTTAAGAGGGCTGGGTGGTTGTGGCCATTTTTAGACTATATTGATCTCCTTTAGAAGAAGAGCTCCATATAAAGATATACTAAAAAGATCAAATTTTAAAACTAAAATGTATGAAATTTTTCTTTGCCAATTGATAGTTGACAGCTTAAGATATCATATCTAAAAAAAATAAGTTATATCTAATGGTTAATTTGTTGACCCCCCAGCCTCCTTAATGTGTATTGTTAATGACTATATAAATAGTTCTCTTTTCTCTGATTTTGTCACACTATAAGATAACAAAACATAAACACAACAACACACAAACAACAAATTGTGAAACGTAAATTTTACATTTAAAATTTTTTTTTTAGGTAAGTAATAAACATTATGGATATAACCATAATAAACTTCACAAATTTTATGGCATCATATCGTATGGCATTATATAGTGTTGACTCTTTGGGTACGACTTGATTTGGGTACGACTCGGATTGGGTACGAGTTGACTGTAAATCGCAGAAAGAGGTGTTAATTAATCTTAATGTGACAAAGATAATAATGGCTCTGGATCTTCTGTAGCAGGCAAGATAATGAACCCAGGAGACACACATCTCATTTATTAAGGTTCATGTGACAAAATTTTTTTCGAAAACTGAACAAAATAGGAGAATTATTTAAGAAGGTGTTAGAAAAAAAACCCAGAAATTTTGTGGACAATCAGACAGCTAGACGAACAGACAAAATGAATACTAAAGGACACCCACAAATCCCTGCAGGCCATAATTACCTGAATTGGTTAATAAGAAAAAAAATGAAGAAAATGCTGACCACTGTGACAATTTTAATGAGGTGAATTAAACATTACTCTCACAAAAGATCAGTGACAATACCACTTTATAATAGAGGTTGAAAACTACTCACCACATCACTCTCCTCCCCATCAGACTCCCCCTCCCCTTCCTCCTCCTCCTCCTCCGCCCCAGCTGTCGTGTCAGCCACAGTGGAGGCCTGAGACAGGATTTCTTCTCCCTGTAAAATAATCAACTGTCACCTTAACTTCTACTAAATAATTAGAGCCGATTTTAAAACTTTGATAATTTGTAAGGTGTAGCAAGATGTTTTCAATGGCCTTGCCTTTTTCTTCACAAGAAAAGAAATTCTTTAATATTAATTATTAAATGTGTAAGAATTCTACTACTAAATAATTTCATCAACCTTAATTCATATAATGTATTTTTTTCCCTTCAAAAAGTAAACATGGTATAAAATTCCTTACAATTGAATTCTGATACTTACATGTAGATCTCGGTTTTTGAGATTTCCAAGCCAGAAGGCTTCCAGACATCTATTCACTGTTAACATAGCCTTGACTCTGTACACAAAGGCCTCCAAACATTTCTTTAAGAAGGGAACTTGGTTTGTTAATGCTATGTCTTTCATGATCTGAAAGATAATGTTTTTCAAGGTTATCCACTACTCCATTGTGCAAACTAATTATACATGTAGTTACATGTATTTATCAAATGTTTACTCCTTTATTATACAGTGGATATCTTTCCAATCTCATTTATATATCCAGTTTTAACGTCACAATGGTTTTTGTGCGAAAGTGATGACATCTGATAAAAGTGGATTCAGATACATGTACTGTATAAAAACAGTATAAAACATGTGACAGCTACATATATATGTAAAACATGTGATAAAATGAATCTCCCAATGTTTGCGTTAAGATATGATTTTTATCCAACTCACGTGTGTTTTATCCCCCTGCCAAGGCTTATGGATAAAAAAAACTTGTGTGATAAAAATCATATCCAACCACAACCATGAGAGATCCTATATGTATGACTGTACAACATACAAACATTTCTTGATGAGTGACACCTTACCTTTGAGTGGCCACACATATGATGGAGAACTCGTGTGCTGACCTGTAGATTCTTAAGCAGGCCCTGGACATCCTCTCTGTTAGATCTGAACATAGTGTCCAACAGGGGCATACCTTGTCTGAGGAAGATCTCAATAAATTGACGACCACACTACGAAAATACACACACAAGTCCAGGTATTAAATCAAGAATATATTCCAAAAAATATTTGTAAATCAGTTTCTAAAAGGAGTAACAATAATAAATACTTGTAAACTCTGTGAAAACTTTTTTCAAATGCAGTATAACATGCTTATAGCAAATTGCCTGGGATGAAACAATTTTGATTCATTATAAACATAATTCATTACATCCAGTAAGTTCATAGTACTTTTCCAACCTATGGAAAATCAAACTTGCTTAGATGTAAATAAATTCATAATAAGAGTCTTCACCGTAACTGTGTCTTACTGTAATGTATTTTTTTCAGTTGTAAATAACTCTATTAAATAGAAATATGTTTTAATATGTATTAACCTTCAGTGCTGTTCCAAGATTACCTCTTCCATCAAATGCCTGAAAATAGCAAAATGTGATTTTAATTTTCACATTAATATCAAAATCTAAATCTATAATTCATATTCTGAGCATCATTTAGAATAATTTAGTGGTGTGTGATACCTTTATTAAGTTGACCATTATGTGAAGAATTCTCACAGCTTGGTTCCATCTCAAAAGTTTGTCCAATTTGGCCTGAAAAAGTAACATTTCTTTTACAATTAAACACATCAAAACTAATTTTTGACCATTTAGACCTTAAAAACCCATATGCAAACTAGAAGCCTGTGAGCCAATGCTCACTAGTAATACCCCCGCTCTGATGTGAATATTCTCTCTGATGTGAGTATACACTAGTTACGGAGAGACACAGGAAGTTGAAATCAGATTTGTACAAAAATGAATCCCACCATATGTATGCCTAAACAAAGAGTGTGCTAAAATTTCAAGCATCTCTGATAGTAGCTGAGAAAACTGCAACAAAAATTTGTTATGGACACACACACACAAACACACACAAAGACACACAAGGGTAAAACAGTATTTCCCCCTCGTGATGAGCGGGGGTATAATAATAAAAATTCTATTCATTTCAGTAATGAAACAAATATCTATTAAGATAATATCATGGAATATATCTATGTAGCTTCACTAATCTCCCTCCCCCTTCTTTTATTTATATCCCTGTCCCCCCTCTGTTTTACTTACATCATACATCCCTGTCCTCTCTCTGTTTTACTTACATCCCTGTCCTCTGTTTTACTTACATCCCTGTCCTCTCTGTTTTACTTACATCCCTGTCCTCTCTCTGTTTTACATACATCTCTGTCCTCTCTCTGTTTTACTTACATCCCTGTCCTCTCTGTTTTACTTACATCCCTGTCCTCTCTGTTTTACTTACATCCCTGTCCTCTCTGTTTTACTTATATCCCTGTCCTCTGTTTTACTTACATCTCTGTCCTCTCTCTGTTTTACTTACATCTCTGTCCTCTCTGTTTTACTTACATCTCTGTCCTCTCTGTTTTACTTACATCCCTGTCCTCTCTGTTTTACTTACATCCCTGTCCTCTCTGTTTTACTTACATCCCTGTCCTCTCTCTGTTTTACTTACATCCCTGTCCTCTCTGTTTTACTTACATCCCTGTCCTCTGTTTTACTTACATCCCTGTCCTCTCTCTGTTTTACATACATCCCTGTCCTCTCTCTATTTTACTTACATCTCTGTCCTCTCTGTTTTACTTATATTCCCATCTTCTGTTTTACTTAAATCTCTGTCCTCTCTCCTTTTTAATTATATTCCTGTCCTTTCTTTTTTACTTACATCTTTGTCCTCTCTCTGTTTTGCTGGCTGTATTCCTTTTATACACGTGATCAGCTCTGTAAACATGGTTTTGTAATACACAGAGAATGTGGCCTTGGTCAGTGTGGGGTAAGCCTCAGAGAACCCATTTTTATCCCCCTCCAGTAAGTCAGGGACACCTTTAGTTGTAATCTCCTCAGCAGCTCCCAGAAAGTCCTCACAATGACATAGATATATTCTGTAACAGGAAATATTTTGCTGAAGAACTGAATGTTTGATAAATCCAAAGGAACAAAATGGTTCTTTGGATCCACAAATGCGAAATATTAAAAGATTTAAAATCAGAGAAAGAAAGAAAAGAAAGAAAAAATGAAAGAGAAAAGAGAGAGAAAGAAAAAGTTGTAACTTTGAATCATCAAAAAAAGTTTTAGAAAAGAATTTTTAAGAACATTGTTAAGAGCTTCTAGATTAAACAATCAGTAATTTTAAGGAACTCTTGTGTTCGTATTAAACGAGTTTTACTGTACTATGCTAACAGATAGCTCGTGGCTTGGTAATCAAGTGAATTTTATTGACTTTATTGATTAAATTATCATGTGGATACATGCAGATGGCCAATGAAGAGAAAACTTATAATCTCTTCTGCTTTCATTAGTAGGGACTTAAGATTGACAAGCAAAAAAATAACACATACAATAATCGTAAAGAAAGGAGAGGGGTCAGCCCCCAATTAGGACCAAAATTTCAGTATTTTTATACAGATTATTTTGTGTTCTTTTTTTTTCTTGATTTTAAGACTACCTGCATTTAACATTTTACTCTTTTCAAAGTTATCAAAAAATGATTTAAAAACTTGATGTTATTCAACATATTCAAGAGATTGTTGTGCAAAATGTATGCCGTTAACAAGTTGATCTTTTAATTACTGGAGACATACTTTTTTCCACATGGAATTAATTAACCCTATGTTCATGATCACAATTTTTCTGTGAAAATTTGTCACAGTGTACATAAAATACATTGCTAACAATGACAATCCACAGACTAAACTGAAATTGTGATTCTGTTGAATTATGTCCCCATGGAAAAAAGTACATTGACAGTATTCAAAGAAAAAATATTAGTTTGACAGAAATTTTTGAAACCTCGGACCTGCCTTAAGTTTGAACACACTGAATGACAGTGTTAGTACAATGTTAGATTGACAGCTTTACCTGAGAAGGTAGTGCAGATTCTCATTATGTTTGGTTCGTTAGCCTTACCTGAGAAGTTAGTGCAGATTTTCATTATGTTTGGCTCGTTAGCCTTACCTGAGAAGGTAGTGCAGATTTTCATTATGTTTGGCTCCTTTCTCTCGCTGTCCCTCAGCATCTAACCACTCCCTCTTCAGAAAGGTTTGTGCTACAGTTGCTACAAAGAGTAATTAATAATATCTCCAAGAGTTAACCAAACCAATTTTTTAAAGGCAATGAATGAGTAATGAATCACTTTTGGACATAAACTGTATTCAAACAGGATTAGCATTTCTGTATACTGTATGTGTACTTAAAAAGGCGGGCTTCATATTTTAGTGGCTTTGGTGCAGACAATGTTGCGCTAATTCATGAATGTCGCTAAGAAATCATTTATATATATAATACATGGCACAGACATTTGTAGCTCTAATTCATGATTACACCAACAACTCCATACCCAGTAATTGTGCTAAATTTGAATATGCCAATTTATGTACAGTATTTTCCTGAATTCTAGTAGTAACTGCAATTAAATGTTAGATTGATGAGCAGGAAATTTACAGAATCTATAACATAGCAAAGCAGTACATAGCAAGTGTGATTTCCCTGAGCTTCATTCCAAGAATAAAATGTTACATGAAACTACATTAATCCTTACCAGTTTTTCTAGATGTTTCTTTGGAGTCAGACTTCTCAGCCAAAGTTAACATTACTTTTATCAACATGACAGCTGTGCCAAGTTTAGGAACTGTTCCTGCAAAGTTTTCTATGTACTGAAAGGATGACCTACAACAGAAATGACATTATGTACATGTATATACAAGTATTTTTTTGTTAGCATGAAAATGCAAAATCCAATTTAGTTCAACAAATTTAAATAAGTTTTAAATGAAAATCCATGTGGTGTTGTTTGGTTTTTTTCCTTCACCATGTTCAGCAAAACATTCAACTAAATGCAATTCTGAATGTTGTTATTTGGTATATGTAAATATCCATATACAAAATTTATAAGAACAACACTTCATTACAAAACTAGATAAATTACTTTATTCACTCTTAAATATTCACATTAGTTTTACAGATTTTTTCCTTCACACAGCTGGGCCATGACTATTTTGCAATACATCTGTGATGATCATCACTCACTCAAATACATTTTACATGTAAATGAAAGTGGTAAAATCATCATCTTCCTACGCACATTCCAATACTTCAACAAATTTTTAGTAATTCTTACTTCAGAACTTCCGTGAAGCTTAGCTGAGTAGATCCCACAGTTTTTATCCTGGACATTAATGTGGTTAGCCCTTCCTTCAATAGTGACTTATTCTCTACCATTAAAAAACCATTCCTGTAAACCAATGGGAAAAAAAGACTTAATTATACCAATCAGTTACAGAAATTTACTGTAAAAACATGAGAAGATAAAAACATGACCTCAACTTTGTCATACCCTCTTTTCACTTCAAAAGAATAGCTGTAAAAACAAGCTAATTCAGAGAATTTGTGTCCCCCGCTTAGGGAAAAAAGAAGAGCATGCGCAGTTCGGGGGGGGGGGGGGGGGGTCACACCACACTGCCCCCTGTATTTGTAGAATTATTAAATGTATACATGTATATTGAAGCAAATTTTAAAAAAAAAACCAATATGGATATAAAGATTTGATTGCTTATTCTTTAATATGGGTATAGAAGATTCTTTTTAATATACTATATACAGAATATTTATCACACTGTAATAATGATTTTATGAGTTTGTACATGCCAGACATCATAACTTTTTCATTTCACATGTTGAATAGTATCATTTAGTAAATCCAAAAAAAAAAAAAAAATTTTTAAAAAAAGAGAATCGTCCGGGGATTGAACCCGGCCCTCTCACTTGCTAAGCGAGCAACATACCACTAGACCACGGAGGCATTTGAACATATAGCAAATTAAATGCAAACATTCAGTCACATATAATGTTTATATTCAGGTTTGATATTGTCAAAATTTTACAGAATAAATGTTCAACTTGTCTAATTTAGCCTTTACTAAACAGTTCTAATAGATGTAATTAAAATACTAGAACTGTCCAAAAGGGACAAATACCCCCCGCTGGGTTTTTCAGAGGTGCCAAATCACTAACATTTTATGGATCTAAGAGGTGTTCACAATTTTCTTATAAACATTTAGAGTGAAAAACTAATTATATTTTTTAATGAATGAAACCAAGGAACAACCGAATAAAACATCAATACCAATACATTGTAATTACATTGTTTTTTTAATACACTGAAAAAATAAATTGCAACTATCTGTCATCTGTCATCTTTTTGAGACATGACACTCTGCAAATTGATTGTTGAAAAAAAATCAATTAATTACAAAATCAAATTAATCTTGATAACTTTATATCAAATTCATTTTAAAAATAAAAGGCTGGTCATCCAGTAACTATGTACTGACAGACAATAAATTACAATTAAGAGAATTAAAGAACAGATATCTTTAAATTCCCAGGAGATATAGATAACACATGCTTGATCAGAGATGCCCCAACAACTTCCTGCACTGAACTCATTAATTAATCTTTAACTGGATGATGTCCACTCATTACTCCCAAGGGACAAATGGATTTACACTATCTGCTGTATAATGTAAAAATTGTTTTTAATGCTTGATGATTTTTTTTTGTTTTTTGTTTTAATGAATAGTTTTAAGCTGTAGTTCACATTTTTGTAGAGATGTTCTAGATTCTATGTCTCAAACCTTAGAAATAAACCCAAAATGACTTAGTCAATAAAAATGAAAAAAAAAGAACTGTAAAATGCAGAAAAATTATCAAATAATGTTGAAAATATCAGGTGCACATCTTCATATGGTATTAAATAATGAGTGTACAAATTTTCAAACAATTCTATGAAATAGTCTTTGAGAAAAGGTCAGGACAAAACCACATAATAAAAATGAAAAAAAAAAAAAAACACCTGTAAAATGCAGAAAAAATTATTCAATCATGATGAAAATACCAGGTGCACACCTTTATATGGTGAATAAGTGTACAAATTTTCAGACAATTCTATGCAACAGTTTTCGAGAAACCCTCTGGACAAAATCTTGTCTACAGACAGACGGACAGACAGACAGACATGGTGATTCTAATATACCCCCCCTAAACTTCGTTTGCGGGGGGTATTATAAAGTCCGCCAACAACCTGTATTATACGTAATAACTCTCGACATGCCCCTGTGCTAAAAATAGTGCCAGCGACTTTAAACACAATAAATAAATTTTTAAAAAATGGAGTGGGACACTTTCAGAGGGGCAAGAAAGGCCCTAGGGAGTTATGGTATAAAAGGACAAGTGCAGTTAAGCAATGCTTAATGGGCCCTTTTTCAGTGCCGTTTTACTTTAGAATATATTACCAAATTGTTCTTTTTTGGTAATAGTTAAACACAAGTGGATATTTCTAATTAAAATCACGTTAAAACACCACCTAAATTAGCATGGATTTGAAACAAATGAAGATTTTTTAAGCCTATAGCTACCCCAAATCCGGAAAAGTCATACCGATCCTATTTTGAGTTTCGTTTATTTAAACCAAGGGGAGGAGACATTTAAATCGGACACTTGAACAATCTGATGGTGGATCATTCACGGGCGCGTTTGCCGAATGATACTTCTTGCGCTATTTTACCTGAGAAAAAAATGAAGTTGTAAAGATGCCTGAAGCCATAGTGATCAAACTAAGAAATTTGCACGCTTGCATTTGAAATAATACAATAAGTATTACCATTAGTTCCTTTAAATTTTAAAACGAAAAAAGTGTAGGTGGCTTTCAATACCAGTATCATTGTCTTGCATGAATGTTAAAAATGTTTAACGCTTTTATGTATGATGACATTTTAACACTAAACTCTCCTAACCCTCTTGTGTTTCTTAAACCAAACATACAAACTTACGACTTCAATATAATGATACGAAACATGGCCATCTTTAACAGTGAGCACCTTTGAGGAATGTTTACCCGGGTAGAACTCACGTGGCTACCAGTATTTTAAATAATTTATTCCACCGGTGGGTTCAACATAGGTCATACAGGTAAATAGCTCTTGCTTGCTATAGGAAAAACATTGAACTTTTCATACATTTTTAATGTTTTAAGTACAAGCCTAATCTTGTACAAATTTCCTACCTTCACACAAGTTTTATAAATGTATATTGCGCTTTTTGTCATTCGCACAAGTTTGTACAACATTAGGCTGACAGTAAACAAAAGCTTTGAAATGAATGCGCGTCCTCGATTTACTATAGAAATTCACGAATGTTGGCTGACCCCTACCACATTGTATGGCTTTGCTCTTTGTATATTCATGAATTTCAGCGATAAAATTTGTTGAATCTTATGGTCTAGATATCAATTAATGATCTGAGAGGAAAAATTATGCTTAATTTGATTCTTCATTTTTTCACACTTCACCGGGGCCCATAAGTGCACTCGTTCTTTCATTGCAAAAGCTCAAAAGCTTCTTGAGATATCGCCCGGAAACGAAAGTGTTACGCACAGATTGAATTTATGAATTTACGACCTTAAACTTTGACCTTTTGACCTCAAAATAAATAGGGGTCTTCCTTAGGCCACAGGGAGTTGTTATGTAAAATTTCATTGCAAAAGCTCAGAGAATTTGCAAGATATTGCGTGGAAACGAAAGTGTTAAAACAGAATTTATGAATTTATGACCTTGACCTTTGACCTTTTGACCTCAAAATCAATAAGGTTCTTCTTTAGGCCATAGGGAGTTGCTATGTAAAATTTCATTGCGAAAGCTCAAAGGGTTCTCGAAATATCGTGCGGAAACGAAAGTGTTACAGACAGACAGAAATACAGACGGAGGGACGGATGGACGGACAGACAGACGGACAGACAGACAGACCCAAATTAATATCCCCCACTTTCAGTGAAAGCGGGGGACAAAAAATAAAAACTGTTCTAAAAATACTCTTATGCAAAGACTCACCATGCAAATAAGGTCTGCAGAGCTTGAAGAAGTAGACAGAAACAGGAGCCCACGGTGTGTGCCTCGGGAGTGTTGCTGCCTGGCCCGTCAATCAAACCATCATTCTCCACAATCAGAGTCTAATATCAACAAAGAATGGCTGTTATGGTGTGTCTTTTAAAAATTTATCATATTAAGACAGTTATCAGTATTGAAAACAATAACTCTCCCTATGAAAAGGAATATATATACATGTAAATGACGATCTAACCTGAAAAAATCCACTTGAACTCTCCAAATGTTCACATAGTGCAGGCAGGAGCTTTATAACTTTCTTTGCTATAAACTTTGGAGTACACTGGTCTAGATGAGAGAATCCCACATTCTTGTCTGCCTTGGTCTGAAAAGTTGAAGTAAATCAATATTCTAGTTTCAATTTAATCTGAAATTAAAAAAAAATAATAGAATTTCTTCAAGACACTGAAATTTAAGATAAGTACACTACCCTACAATGTTTGTTAAATCATTCATGTACATGTACTGTACCTCTGTGTTGATTAAAGAATTTATATCTTTCTATCACACTAAAACACAATGTCTGCTAATTACTGTAAACCAACTTTTATTCGCGTGCGAGAAATATTTGCGAGTTTTGCGACCTACTATAACTCGCGAATATTAATCGTCCCGAACCATTTATTTTGCTTTGTATTTGTAAAGAATGTTTCCTAAGTCGCGAAAATTAATCGTCGTGGATTGATTTTAAACTAACGAATCGCGAATAAAAGTTGACGCGAATAATAGTTGGTTTACAGTATACTGTGTTTTGCTGTATTCCAACATGCAATGTACCTTGAGGAAAGATTTGCGTTTAGAGGTAGAAGAAATGAGAGCATGAGAAAGTTTCCTCGTAAAGTCGTCCAAGAGAAACTCAAGCTGAGGTGGCTGAATGCTAAGTTCTGTTGTACCCTAAAAAGACCACATACATAGTACAGAATTCTCATCACAGTTACATTAAACATGCAATTTAACAATATGCTACATGTACATGTACTTTAAAACTAACTTAATGAAACATCAACAAAATAAAATGCAACCAAAAAACTTGACAGACTTTGCAACTGAACTGAAATGCATTTTAAAATATGAAATACACATTATTAAATACAATACAAAGTACTCTTACCTCAGGAGTGAGAAGCTACCATGTAAGAATAAGTGGTAAGGAGTATATTTATTAGCACTGGAAAAATGTCCTTCTTTGGTGCCAGTTATGCTCAAACTGACTTAACCAGCATGAGTATTTAAATTCATAACTTGTCAATCAAGTTTATTGTGTTATCATGTTTATTTATCATTAGCATAGCAAAGAATTTGTTTGGGGTTACCTACCTTTGTGTTGAGTTCTATATACAGGAAAGTCTAAGTGATCAGACCAGTATATAGGATAGAGTGGGATTTGCTGGGGTTGCCTACCTTTATGTTGTGTTCTGTTTTAAGGGAAGACTTGGTGATCAGGCGTGCCTATAGGGTAGTGCAGGATTTGTTGGGATTACCTACCTTTGTGTTGAGTTTGGTATCCAGGGAAGACTTAGTGATCAGACCAGTGTGTAGGATAGTGTGGGATTTGTTGGGATTACCTACCTTTGTGTTGTTCTGTACCCAGGGAAGACTTGGTGATCAGACCAGTTTGTTGGGATTACCTAAAACTTTGTGTGGAGTTCGGTATCTAGGGAAGACTTGGTGATCAGACCAGTGTGTAGGATAGTGTGGGATTTGTTGGGGTTACCTACCTTTTTGTTGAGTTCGGTATCTAGGGAAGATTTGGTTATCAGACCAGTGTGTAGGATAGTGTGGGATTTGCTGGGATTACCTACCTTTGTGTTGAGTTTGGTATCTAGGGATGACTTAGTGATCAGACCAGTGTGTAGGATAGTGTGGGATTTGCTAGGATTACCTACCTTTGTGTTGAGTTCAGTATCTAAAGAAGACTTAGTGATCAGACCAGTGTATAGGATAGTGTGGGATTTGTTTGGATTACCTACCTTTGTGTTGAGTTCAGTATCCAGGGAAGACTTAGTGATCAGACTAGTGTATAGGATAGTGTGGGATTTGATGATTCATACCTTTGTGTTGAGTTCAGTATCTAGGGAAGACTTAGTGATCAGACTAGTGTGTAGGATAATGTGGGATTTGCTTGGATTACCTAACTTTGTGTTGAGTTCGTTATTTCGGTATCTAGGGAAGACTTAGTGATCAGACTAGTGTGTAGGATAGTGTGGGATTTGTTGGGATTACCTACCTTTGTGTTGAGTTCAGTATCCAGGGAAGACTTAGTGATCAGACTAGTGTGTAGGATAGTGTGGGATTTGTTGGGATTACCTACCTTTGTGTTGAGTTCAGTATCCAGGGAAGACTTAGTGATCAGACTAGTGTGTAGGATAGTGTGGGATTTGTTGGGATTACCTACCTTTGTGTTGAGTTTGGTATCTAGGGATGACTTAGTGATCAGACCAGTGTGTAGGATAGTGTGGGATTTGTTGGGATTACCTACCTGTGTGTTGAGTTTGGTATCTAGGGATGACTTAGTGATCAGACCAGTGTGTAGGATAGTGTGGAATTTGTTGGGATTACCTACCTTTGTGTTGAGTTTGGTATCTAGGGATGACTTAGTGATCAGACCAGTGTGTAGGATAGTGTGGGATTTGTTGGGCCATACCTTTGTGTTGAGTTCAGTATCTAGGGATGACTTAGTGATCAGACTAGTGTGTAGGATAATGTGGGATTTGCTTGGATTACCTAAAACTTTGTGTGGAGTTCGTTATTTCAGTTTCTAGGGAAGACTTAGTGATCAGACCTGTGTATAGGATAGTGTGGGATTTGCTGGGATTACCTACCTTTGTGTTGAGTTTGGAATCTAGGGATGACTTAGTGATCAGACCAGTGTGTAGGATAGTGTGGGATTTGTTGGGATTACCTACCTTTGTGTTGAGTTTGGTATCTAGGGATGACTTAGTGATCAGACCAGTTTGTTAGGATAGTGTGGGATTTGTTGGGATTACCTACCTTTGTGTTGAGTTTGGTATCTAGGGATGACTTAGTGATCAGACCAGTGTGTAGGATAGTGTGGGATTTGTTGGGATTACCTACCTTTGTGTTGAGTTCGGTATCTAGGGAAGACTTAGTGATCAGACCAGTGTGTAGGATAGTGTGGGATTTGTTGGGATTACCTACCTTTGTGTTGAGTTCAGTATCTACGGAAGACTTAGTGATCAGACCAGTGTGTAGGATAGTGTGGAATTTGTTGGGATTACCTATCTTTGTGTTGAGTTCGGTATTCAGGGAAGACTTGGTGATCAGACCAGTGTGTAGGATAGTGTGGGATTTGTTGGGATTACCTACCTTTGTGTTGAGTTCAGTATCGAGGGATGACTTAGTGATCAGACCAGTGTATAGGATAGTGTGGGATTTGTTGGGATTACCAACCTTTGTGTTGAGTTCGGTATCTAGGGAAGACTTAGTGATCAGACCAGTGTGTAGGATGGTAAAAACACTGATGTCCAGCTCCCTGAAAGTTAATACAGAATACATAGACATACTAGATTTATCACAGTCCTTTTGAATCACAACAGCATTTAAATCAATTTTCAAGTCAATATCTTCAAATTACAATTCGAATCGGTTCTTTACACAATTTTTTCCAAAATTATTTTTTTTTCTTTACAATACTGCAAAAATGGCAGATACCAGTAGTTGTATCTCTGAAATTTTCATTAACTAAAGGTACTGTGAGCGAGTTCACAAAATAATACCAAAAATTTTCAAATCAACATCTTCAAATTACAATTTGGTTCAAGTACACAATTTTATCCTCAAATTAATTTTTTTCTTTAAAATACCACATAAATGGTAGACACCATAGTCAAATCTCTGAAATTTTCATTAAATAGAGGTACTGTGAGCGAGTTGACAAAATAATACCAAGGTGAGGTACCTGAATCATTACAGCCTTAGTACATACATGTACATGTATGTGTGGATGATTTTTGCCAATCCATGCTAAAATTTCTTTTAGTAGGCATCATTATTACAATGCTTTTATCAAATAAACAGATTCAACACTTTTAACAAAGAGACATTTAAAGCTGCAGACCAAAAGTTCAAAATTTGATTTTTTTATTTTTATACAACATATGAATAAAAGCAAAAATTATTTCAAATCATTTCCACAGTAAATATTTTTGTGTCTATTATAATTCATGACAAATTAAATAACCTGAAAAATGGTATGTAGTTCGCCATGTCAACACTTGGTTTCTCATTTGTCTCTGATTTTTCAGGAATCTGGGTTTCATTCTGTGTGTCCTGCAATATGATACAAATACAGGTATCTACAAGACTACAACATCTAGCATTTGTCATATTAGATAGTTATCTTTACAGCTAAATTTCTTACAATATCAGTACTTTATCTGTAGGCCTCAATACTCCAATAAACAAAAGTACAGTTGAACTTTGATATCTCAAACACCAACATCTTGAATACCATGGATATTTTGAAGTGACTTGGAAGTCCCATCCATTTATTCTCAAAGAATTTTACCCTCGATATCTTGAAAATTTGGATATCTGAAATTTTTGCTGGGCCCTGTTGAGTTTGAAATAACAAGGTTTGACTGTAATTGCTTTGACAGATAACAACTTACCAGTTGTGAGGAATCTTTGCTGTTTTCATCACTGTCTTCGTCTCTTATATTTTCTTTGTCACCTTTCTTTCTGAATACAAAAATTCTTGATATCTTAAGCTGTTTATATTTGCTTAATAACCCCTTGACATTTTTAAATACATGTAAATTATAAATAAATATATAAATACCTTTAAATTATTAACTGTTGCATTTTTTTCTTTCATAAAAAGTAATTTGATACTTTCTCTTTAAATACATGATACAAAAGTGTCCTTTTAAAATACAAATATACAACAGATTCATTAAACTCTGCTTTTAATGTACAAAAAGCAATTCTCTTCCAAATTTAATCTTAAATGAAACAATATGAAGCTTGAAAATAACATTCTACAATGGAAAATAGGGCTGTCACGGTTCCAAAATTTTTCGGGTCGGGTCGGTTCTGTAAATTTTCGGTTCGGTTTCGGGTTTTTCGGGTTGGGTATTTACATCTATTTTAAACCTAAATTTCATGAATTTAACTTGAAAAATCTTTATTTGTTACATTAAATTTACACTGAAAACAAGTCTTAACCATGCGAACGTCTAGACATCGGTGACTTGGCCTACCATTAGCCACAACCTGACCATTCCTGCTCGTTTTGATAATTATCTAATACTTCCATGACAAGTGTTTTGTCATGGAATGGAGTAGATTTCAGTTGTGATGTTTATTTATCACTGTTATCGTCATCATTCCTTTGATTTCGACGCCATTTTTTGTATTGAACAGACTCTAATATATAAACCAGACCCGAACCGAAATCCGGAAAAATGGAACCGGAACCGAACCGAACAACTTGGACCGCGGTTCTCGGTTATTTCGGGTACTCGTGACAGCCCTAATGGAAAACTGTAAATAACATTTTATTCATGAAAAATTCATTTATGCATATTTTAACTACATGCTTATGTACATTGTCTGAATGCCAAGGTTAAGTTTCTCACAAAAAGTAGCTCTAATTACTAAACTTAAAAAGGGCATGTGAACATTATGTTAAACAAATAAATGAAGTGTGAATGCCTTGCAAAAATAAACTAAATTAACCCAAAATATGGTGGTTTTGGTAATAAATGCTTGAACCCATCCCACCCTAGTAAATGTACAGTATCTATAATCAAATGCTGTACCAAACTAGACACACCGTGAGCACTGAGCTTACAAAATGATACTCCCCGCTCCCATTTGAGTATAATGGCAAAGTCCAAGTTTTGCTATGGGAATCTGATCAAAAACATAAAATAGGTGGTGCACAGTTGCACATAATAAAGATTCTGTAAAAGTCTCATTAAATTTTATCCAGTGGTGTAGGTGTGGAGGTGTGGATAAGAGATGGGTACCCCAAATATTTTAGGAAAATGGCAGTGTCCATTTTTTGCTATGGGAAACTCAAAGTATGTATCTAAACCATACATAAAACAGGAGATGCACAATAGCACAGTGTGATAAAGATTCTGTGAAAGTTTCCTTGAATTTTATTCAGTGGTACAGGTGGAGTTTAGGGCTGTCACGAGTACCCGAAATAACCGAGAACCGCGGTCCAAGTTGTTCGGTTCGGTTCCGGTTCCATTTTTCCGGATTTCGGTTCGGGTCTGGTTTATATATTAGAGTCTGTTCAATACAAAAAATGGCGTCGAAATCAAAGGAATGATGACGATAACAGTGATAAATAAACATCACAACTGAAATCTACTCCATTCCATGACAAAACACTTGTCACGGAAGTATTAGATAATTATCAAAACGAGCAGGAATGGTCAGGTTGTGGTTAATGGTAGGCCAAGTCACCGATGTCTAGACGTTCGCATGGTTAAGACTTGTTTTCAATGTAAATTTAATGTAACAAATAAAGATTTTTCAAGTTAAATTCATGAAATTTAGGTTTAAAATAGATGTAAATACCCGACTCGAAAAACCTGAAACCGAACCGAAAATTTACAGAACCGACCCGACCCGAAAAATTTTGGAACCGTGACAGCCCTAGTGGAGTTGCAAAAAAAAAAAAAAAGTGGTACCCCCAATGTCATCAGAAGAATTGGAGTGTCCTTGTTTTATTATGAGAAACCCCAAATATTTATGATCTAAACGTAAAATAGGAGGTCACAATGGTACTGTGAATGTCTCATTTAATTTTATTCAGTGGTGTAAGAGGTGTTGCAGATAAAGCATGGCTACCCCCAGGTGTGACAGATGGACTGACATACTGACACCCCAACCACTATATACCCCCCACAAGTGGGAGGTATAATAAGCCAAGTAAGTCACTTCTTCGTGCCAGTGAGAATGTGGCCTCCCTTTATACATTTTACATATCTATAGTACCAATTACACCCTATAAACTACTTACTTCTTAGCTGGCTTTCTGCCCTTCTTTTTCCCCTCCGCATTAGTATTCACAGGAGCATTCAACAATGGATTCTCGTACCAGTCAAAGGTCGCTGGGGGAGGTCTGAACTGAGAGTGACCTACAAACAAAATTTTATTAATTTTATTAGATTTTATGTAGTCAGTCACATTTGCAAGGTCTTTCCTGGTAATACTTGGAATTAATGAGAATGTGTCTTGCATCTTTTAAGCTAATAAATTCACAGTGTGCTAAAAATGGTTAACATTTTTTTTAACGTTCAAATTTAATTTTAAATTAACAACTGGTATGTATGACTTTTTGCCACAAAATGTATAGTTAACTGGCTAACACATTGTATAATTGTGGAAAATACTAACTGGATAAGCACTTCTCCAGGGATTTAGTCACCTCTGTAATGTTGTGGAGTCGTGTTATGACTTTGCCTTTCATTTCTGGGTCAATCTGTGTGGCAAATGCATTGATGATTTCCCGAAACCAGTTTAAGGCATGAAACAGAGCAGTGCAAATGATGTCCTTCTCTTTTGTGGAGAGTGATTCTATTTTGTCAATCACTTCTGACTTTGGTAGAAATATTGGACATCCTGAGAGAAAAAAAGTGGTTAAGAGTTATCTTTCTTTGGAACTTAACAATAACATTCCACTGAGTTATCTTTCTTGTTACCATAAAATTTTCACAAAATACCTTGCAAATTATTTTTTTAAAAAAATAATACCAATAAAAAAACATTCAAGATTAAACATTGTGTGTTAATCTTTAAAAAGCTATTTCAAAATCTGCAAGAGAATGAAAAATTTTAATTTCAAAATATCATTTTAACCTAGAAACTTTAATCAATGAAAAAATGTTTAATCTAAAACCTAATTTTTCACTTGTTATTGATCTATGCTTAATAAATGATGAGTGAGTGTTCAGATCTCTATGAAGATATTTTTCACTCGCCGTACTGATATTAAGCATATATTGTACCGTAAACAATATATGACGAAGAAATGAGAAACAATGTCCCTCTGTATTAACTCCTTTCAAAACATACATGTAATTTTTAAATGTCCATACACTTACCATGCTTATGCTAGTCATTCAATAACCAAATTCATGTGTTCATTTAAATCTATGTTAGATTTCTCATACTTTCACAACTAACACACTAACTAAAACAAACAAAAATAAATAAATATACATCTAGGTATGATTTTAAAAGGTTTTTTTTTTACTGTCCATTCATGAACAAGAGTACTACTGTAGATGGAACAAAAATATACTTCCATAAGCTCTGCACAATGCAATATTTTCATTAATATCACAGATCAAAGGGAGAAAACTCTGTAAATCTAACTTTGGTGAAACTTAATTCAATTGCAGTATTTGTAAATGCAGCACTGAAAACTAAGAGACAATGTATCCAAATCTGTCAGCTAGACCTAATGGCCATCAGGAGACATAAATGTAAATCATATCCAGGGCTTAATATCTGTTGCATGCAGGGTCGTTAAAAGGACCATGTCACAAGAAAATTGAAGCTATATTTCAGACTATGCAAAAGGAATAGTACTTGAGAAACATACAGGACTGAACCAAATTTTGTCAGAAACCTAATGTAAGAAAGTGAAATGTGAAAATACAGAATCACGGAAATCTTGAGGGTTTTCATCACACTCATATACGTACTTGGATTTGTGGGATATTTTTTCTTACAACAAACATTTTTATGACTCTATGTCAAAATAGTAAAATTCAAAAGAACACTGAGATATCAGACACTATGGTATGGTGGTAAAAAAAAAAAAGACACATTGGACCTGAGGCACTGAACATTGGTCAGATACGATGTTTTTCAGAATGACTGATTTTTACCAAAATTAAGGTAAAAATTTCCAAATGACAAGCAGACTGAAATCTTAAAATATTTTCATCGACAATGTTGACTTTTGAGATTAGATAAAGATGTATATGGAGAATAAGCCAACAGTCTTTATTGTATAGGAAAATATATTAAGTCATCAATATCTGACTAATTTTTCAATTTAAAATTCCCAACTGAAAGGGTACAGGACTGTTCCAAAAAGTGCCCCCCCCCAAAGCATGATATGCCTGTCAAATATGGTTCAATTATCATACACAGTTTAGAGCACAAGAAAATCATATCAACCTTGATACAAGGATTTCCATGACTTTTGATATTTCCATTCCTTATAATATTTGTTTATACATCTCCTGTGGTGTAGGCATTAATTATAACAAATATTACATTACAGATTCTCAACTGGTTGTGTTAGAGCTTGACAAATGCCCATCTGCAGCCCCCCCCCCCCCCCCCCCCCACATCTTTCATATTTGAGAGACATGATGCTCTGGAATTTGTTAGTTGATATTTTTAAAAAATTTAATAAAAATATCATATTAAACAATATCAATTTAGTCTTGGCAACTTAATCTATACCAAATTAATTTTAGCTGGCCATTAAATGACATAGACATATTCTTTAAACTGACCAGCAGTAATCTTCTTTCTAATTCCCAAAGGATACAGATAAGAGCTGCTTGATCAGAGATGCTCTAACAGAAATGATTGAGACAGCTAGCCTTCCTACACTGAACTCATTAATTAATCTTTAACTGGATGCATGTCCACTCATTACTCCCAAGGGATGAATGGACCTGCATTGTCTGCTTTGTAGTGCAATAAAAATGCATATTTATGTCATTCTGAAATTAAATTTGAAAACAAAGACTTTTTTTAATTTGTTACAAAGATTTATAAGGAGAAAAAAATTGTGTAATCTTGATGCAACATTTCTAATAAGGTTCCTGCATGACTCTTAGATTTGTATGGACTATCTACCATAATTAAAACATTTTTTTTTTAAAAATACTTGATGATTTTTTAGATTTAATGTCAAACTGCTTTTAAGCTGCAATTCATACGGACAATGGGCATGCTGATTCCAATATCATCCCCCCCCCACCCTCACCCCCGAGTATAATTAGTTTTAATTACATTATACAATATCAAATTAGTTTTTTATACAATTTCAAATTAGTTTTAATTAACTTTCATCAAATTCATTTTGAAAGTTAGGCTAGCCAACAATTTAATCCAACACGGCTGATTCCTTTGCCCAGTTCCCAAGAGATATAGATAACACCTGCTTGATCAGAGATGCTCTACCAGTTAGCTCCTCACACTCAACTCATTAATTTCTCCCTAATTTGACATGCAATTTTCTGTTAACAAAATTTTCCTTGACCAGTGCTTGATAATTACACCCACGGGAAAGGTGGAATTTCTCTTATAACATTACATTTGTTATAGATTGCTGTAAAGTATATAATGAAAAAAAAATAAGTATTTTCTTGATTTAACATTTTTTAAGGATACTGCAACACTCTTACATTTTTTGGGATTGTGTAATTTAATAATAAAAAGGCAGATTTTTTTTAAAATTTCACTTAAATTAAAGGTCATAGTGACCTTGAAATAGGTCGTGACACACCTTCTACCTAAGATGCATAAATTGGCCAAGTTTGATGATTCGGAGTCTAATGGTTTCCTAGTTATGAGCCGGAGAGGATTTTTCCATATTTGGCCATAGCATCTTAATTAAAGGTCAGAGCAACCTACTTTTGGTGCACGACACACCTTCTACCCAAGATGTATCAGCTGACAAAGTTTGATAATCCTAGGCCTAATAGTATTAAAGTTATGAGCCGGACACAAGAAAAGCTAACAGACGGACGGACATGAATGCCATAACATAATACGTCCCGTCTAAAGACGGGCGTATAAAAAGGGATAAATAAGCCCTGATATTGGGAACTGAAGGAAAATGAACAGCTGATTTATGCATACCAAGCACAGCATCAATTTCGTCTAAGTTTCCATTCTGCCTCTGTTCACACATACGAAGCAGTCTGAAGTGTGGGGACAAACAAACAGGATCTGGGCTCTCTCTAAAAGAACAGCAAGTCCTTATAATAATTGATAAATATGAAAAGTTAACAGAGCTCCAGATAAGGTGCATATTTGTAGATATATGCATTGAATTTTACAAAATACACATTGAAAATTAAAACTGGGCTTACAGTTTTAATTTGCATTAGCAATTGTAAATAAGCATTACACTACCAAAGTACTGCGTACGACGGATTGAATAATGCAAGTACGACTCAGCTAATGAAATGGCGAGGACTACTGTAGATTCCTTATTTTTCGCAAGTACTTATTATCACAAAATGGCGCTTTCACGTCAAATCGCAAGAACAGTAATTCACGAGTGGACGGTTGATCAAGGGATTTTACATCGATTTCAACACCATAAAAATAAAAGCGAGAAATTTTATTTCGCGAGTTGTGCTTCTCGCGTAATTACGCGATAATTAATTCCTCACATATATTTAGGAATTTACAGTATTTCTAGTTCGGAAGAAGGAATTCAATGATTTAGGTTAAAATCGATTTCTTTATATATAAAGACTACACACTAGGCATAGTTACTTTTAAGCACACAAAACCTTGTGTCGTCTATGTAAGATGATATTGTAACAACTGTAATACATAAGTAATAGAAAACAATGTTACCTAGAAAACAATATGGATAGTTGGAGAGAAAAAAAGAGTCCTAGCCAGAGAAAAAAGTTTATACTGCAATGTTATCAAAGAGTACATGATGTGTAAAAAAGCAGTGAAGACCATATTAAAACCATTTAAAAAAAACCAGCTGTTTAAATTCAAGACCAATTAAATAAACTGCAGTAGACAGACATTACGCAAGAAACGTATTTGAATTTTACGATTAAGAGTTGTCTTAGAACCTCTCGAGTTCTCTATGCATCTCTGTTTAGTAGGACAGTTACACACGGTTTGTACATAACGTTTTTATATTATGGGTTCATTGTTAATTTCCGATTTCCCTAGTTATTGTATGATCTTCCTTGTCAAAAAAAATGTTTCTCAGGTTTAGCAAAAATCTTGTTGGCATTTTTAAAATTTTATTTAAATAAATGCAGGAACTGTCCTTTGTAGTTTTGTTCTTTCCTCTTTTAAAATACCTTTATTTCGATAACAATCTCAAAATTACAATATATGCCAAAACATTAGTACATATATATTAACAAAATACTCTTAAATCATTAAGATGAACATCAAAATCTGCATCGATTTGAAAATCAGGGAGTAAATACACTTTGGGCTAAAAAATTATCTGGAGCTCTGAGTTAATCCTTATAATAACTCAAAATAAATTAAATAAATTTTTTTGAATAAATCACAAAACTAATGATAAAACAGCCCTCTGAGGGCAGAGACTTCACAAGAGTCTCTTGCCTTAAATTTCATATGTTTGATTAATTATGACATTGGTCTGCAGTACTGAGTAGGTGTATTACCCTGTGTGTTGGTTCTGTGTTTTCTTCTTATCTTTGATAGATTTCTCAGTCAGCACCACCAGAGGAATGCCAATGGCTACTTCACTGTCATCATCCAAATCAAACCTTACATCCTGGGCCACCAAACTGAAAACATACATGAAAAAATTGCAAATTTCACTCATTACCAAAACTTTGAAAATTTCTGTTTTAATTACAGTAATTAAAAGGGATAGTAATCAGACCTGGGATTTTTCCTGCAATTTTATTGTCTCTCTAATTAATTACAGTTTTGTTTTGAAAATGGATTAATACGCAATATGCAGCATTTACAAAGAAAGTTTAATCTAGCAAAGAACAAGGTACGGTTTCAATACAAATTTTGCCCTGTATTTTTCTTAAATATGAAAGAGATGTAAGGAAATAAAACTCATGCTTCCTGGATTTTTGAAATTCCATGCAGTAAGAAGATGCATATCGTTTTTCTCATATGACCTCCTAAATGCTAATTGTGACGTAATGAACTTGTACATGTAGTTATGCAAGTTTCTGCATTCCTAATGTGGTTTCATCTGACCTTTGAAGTACATGTATTCCTAATCTGGATTTCAAAATATATTTTTGCACAATTCTCTTTGACATCTCCATGATATTCAAGATTTTGAAGTTCAACTGTACTTAATAAAGGATTTTGTAAAAAATCTTGAACCATCAGACAACTGAACAAACATGTACCTCTCTGAAGCTGCTTCCTTCATGTCTACGACATAGTGATCCTGGAAATCTGTCGTCACATTCTCCGTGATCCACTTCTGACAAAATCATTAACATCAGTCAGAAAACAAAAAGTTACTGACTTTTCATCAATTACAACCAAAACAATGTGTGTTTTAAAGAATTAACACAAATTATTTCTACGTTTTTCTGTGAACCTTAGCGTACCTGGAATCTGGTCTAACCATAAATAGTTCTAAATCTTAAAGAAAAACTTATTCAGTATTGTTTGACTTTTACAACAGAAATTTTTGACCATCATGGGTATGTTTAATATGTGTTCCTTTCAGAGAAAATTGTTTTTTAAAGATATCTGATATGGTGACTGCCTCAGTCACAGTTACCTACATGCAATACAGGTACGTTATACACGTACTAGTTATTAAAAGACATGAATAACACACAGATTTATTATCTCTACATTTTGTTATGTACAATCTTATACAATTATGGACTTCAGTGTAGGTCGATATGTGGTTCTAAGGACCCATGGCAAGTGATATTGATCGAAGACACAGAAAGTGATAGCAACCAAGCTTGCGAGGTCGCTATCATTTTATGTGTCTGAGGTCAATATCACTTGCCATGGGTCCTTAGAACCACATATTGACTGTTCACTGAAGTCCATAATAGTTATATAATCACTCAAAGTGAAAAATCTGGCACGGTACTAACTGAACAGACTGGGCTGTCATTAAGTCACATTGGTAAAAACATGCTTATTATATTATGACGTCACGTTCTACGTAACTTTGGTACAACCAAACGGTGAGTCGTGTGATATCATATTCCGCGGACACACTTTCACGTCAAAATCACAAAAGGACGAATATCACGTGGCGTCCTTTCAGCCAATGAAAATTATGAAAATAATCTTCTTATATTTAATTTTACGATGAAAAAGATAAGAGATATATATATCTATCTATATATATATATATATATATATATATATATATATATATATATATATATATATATATATATATATATATATATATATATATATATATATATATAAATAAATATATATACAAGTATATATACATATGACATCATGTTTTAATTTTGGTCCAGTTTTGGTTTAGGTTTTTGCCAAGACCTTGTAGAACATGAATGAATGATTTTCAAACTACATGTACCTTTAAATAACATTCATGTTATTGTACAGTATATAAAATGCATATGAGAGTTGCATGTTTAAATTGTCTCATAACCCATGACAATCACATCCATTTCCCACCTCCACTTTGGCATCCAGATGACCATTGCCCACCACATTAGCCAATTCATCCAAGAAGAGAGCCGTGGCCTCAGACATTCGACTGCTGCTGGTTTTGACCAGTTTTAACAGGTTTATCACCTGTTTGTACAGGCTCTCTGTCATAGGACCAGCAGGCGCCTGGCTAGGCTCATTATCTCTATTTCTAAGGCAAAAAAAAATGGAATCCTTATGTATAAGGGCTACTCCAGTAAATATCATCATAAAAAATGCCTTTTTTCTGTTGGTGAGAGGGTTGTTTTTGTATTTTTAAAGGTGGGGGTAGATAACTTAATTTTTTATTGGTGGTGGTGGTTAAAAGGGGGGTCTCTCTCTCTAGTTCTGACATTACAGGTTACAGCAAAATGAAATGTAATAAAACACCTATCTTATTTATCTTTATGAAATCAAGTCAGTCTTAACAATCTTGGAAGTGAAGACTTATCTTCCCAAAAGCTGTGTAAAGTTAAGCTTAAGACAAATAGTTCTATTTACCAGTTAATTGTTTGACACATAAATATCAACACTAAATAATTACTTTTTAAAGACTTAAACCTACACATGCACGGATGTAGGTGGGGGGGGGGGGGGGGGGTCGGGGGTCCGGACCCACCCTTGAATTTGCAAAGTTATTAAATGTATATAGTCAAGCAACTACCAGTAAAAGTGACCTTGGACCCCCTCCCCTCCTACAAAAAGTGGACCCCTGTTGAGTTGGTATGAAAAGTCATACATATGAAGCTGAAGAATTGAAGTGAAGCGAAGATTTATCAATAATCACTTCTTTGTAACAGACCTACATTTGTACATTACTGCACTTTTGGATTTTTTTCTCATTTTATTTTTCTAACTGAAGGGTGGGGTTGGGTGGGGGATTGACAAAAAACTGAATTCTCTTGGTGATGTTGACTTATCTAATTCCATCTTTAGGTGGTGGGTCGGAAATTCAGTGAAGTACAACCCCCTCTCAGATATTTTTACTGGAATAACTGTAAAGTTCGCAAAGTACGTTATCAATAATCAACAATCAGCAATATTATCTATAAAGTGCTAAGTCTACACATGGACTAAAGTATGCTATACACAGGAATAATAAATGTACACGTATACATGTAAATGCATGAAGATTTTCTGAACTCTTCATATTGAAAAGAAGGAACAACAATAATAAACATATGATATGATAAATGTCTATCATTGACTCTGTTTTATCTGCAGAACTTACTGATTGTATGTGAAACTTTTTACCACCAATAGAACTTATTGATTGTATGTGATACCTTTTACCACCATTAGAACTTACTGATTGTATGTGATACTTTTTACCACCATTAGAACTTACTGATTGTATGTGATACTTTTTACCACCTTTAGAACTTACTGATCGTATGCGATACTTTTTACCACCATTAGAACTTACTGATTGTATGTGATACTTTTTACCACCTTTAGAACCTACTGATTGTATGCGATACTTTTTACCACCATTAGAACTTACTGATTGTATGCGATAATTTTTACCACCATTAGAACTTACTGATTGTATGCGATAATTTTTACCACCATTAGAACTTACTGATTGTATGCAATACTTTTTACCACCTTTAGAACTTACTGATTGTATGCGATACTTTTTACCACCATTAGAACTTACTGATTGTATGCGATACCTTTTACCACCATTAGAACTTACTGATTGTATGCGATACTTTTTACCACCATTAGAACTTACTGATTGTATGCGATACTTTTTACCACCATTAGAACTAACTGATTGTATGTGATACTTTTCACCACCATTAGAACTTACTGATTGTATGCGATACTTTTTACCACCATCACAGCTCCAATGATGCCCATTCTTTTATATCTGAAAGAGAAACATAACAAATATCATTCTTTGATGCTTCTAAATTAACTTAAAATTAAACTCATAGAAAACTCATAGAAAATTTTGTAAACAAAAAAAATCTGCAGGAGCAGCTTCATTTTTCAAAAATTAAAGATGATAAACACTTCTAGTTAACAAGCTTCTCTGGTCTATGATCAGTACAAGTACATATTTCACATATCTTTATTTTCTTTTAAAATTTTGGAAGTAAAGGACAAATATAAACATGTGATTTTATGCATGATTTATAAACAAATTTCTATTTGACAAAATGTTTGTAATAAGATCCTGTTACTAAGTTAAGAAAGAAATCAACTAGTTCCTGGGTCAGAGTTACCATACTTACTTTGGGTTATCGTTGGACAACTGCTTCCTAATTATGATGTGAAGATCATCCTAGAAAGGAAAGGGCAGTTTTTAATACTTCCACATGTACATAATCATCCCATTTTTCTTAGTAACTTTCCCTACTTATAACAAATTTATGAGAAATCTTTGGGGGGTTTTTTAATATTAACAATCTCTCTAGTGAAAGTAAACAAAACTACAACAGGGAACCTGCAAATTTGGAATACACGAGGCTATCTTCAGAACCTTTTCCAAGCATGAGTGAACAAAATAAACAGTCCCAGAGACTGTTAGAACTGCTAGGTTTGCTATCTAGAGCAGTCCCAAAACAGTCACACAATGGTCCCAGAACAGTCCCACTTTTTGAGAGAGCAGTCTACAAGCAGTCCCCATGCAAGACTGCTTTCTAGGACTGGTAGGATGTCAGGTTGGGTCTGGTTGGTACTGTAACTAAGCGCAATACTCCTTTGTTCTATATTTAAGTTTATTGTACCTGAATCATGTTTCCTCCCTGAGTACTTCTGAATGCTAGGGTGCTAAGGAGGGAGTACAATTTCCGTATCTGGAGGACACTCAAATTATCAAGGTAGTCCAGAACCACCTATAAAAGAAGATAGTGAAGAAAACTATGTTGTACATGGTCCATCAAAAAATTTAAAAGGAACAGGGATTTTTGAGGGATAGAGGAAAATTTAGCAGGAAATACATGTAGTAGATTTTTTTCTTCTCCTAACTTGCTTATCTGAAATGTTCTATATCAATAGATTTTACATACATGAACATTAAATATGCATTTTAACACTTACAGGTAAATGTTAAAATCATTCTTATTAGTGTTAAACAGATTTGGGCTACAAGTTTGTGTATTAGAATGGTTATATTCAATATTTCAAAAGACAATCATACTGCCATCAAAATTTTCATATCACCTTTACAAAGATTGCAAAAGGAGCCATTTTGTCAAGGTGCTTGTCCACCAGCTGATACAGTATATCTAAGGAAGAATCTGTCTCTCCTTCAAACCCACTACCAAAGTGGGTGACTAGATTTCCAACAATCTCCTAGAAACAAAAAGTTGAGGTAAATGGAACATGGAATTCTCACAAAGAACAAGAGTCCTGGATCTATTTGCTAAAGGCTCTTTGTCTACTGGTTATGAGTCCTGTGTCTACTTTTCAGGAATCATATGTTACTAACTGTAATGGATCCAGTGTCTACTAGTCAAGTGTCCATCTTGTCAGGGATCATGAGTCTAATTTTATGTATCCTGTGTCTACTAGTCAAGGGTCCATCTTGTAAGGTATCCTGTCAAATGTTAAGGATCCAGTGCCTACTAGTCAAGAATCCTGTGTCTACTTCTCAGGAACCATGTGTCCAATTGTTTAGGATCCTGTCTATATTAGTCAAGAGTCCTATGTTTACTAAACAGGAATCAGTTGTCTACTTGTCAGGAATCATGTTCTAATTCCTAAGGATCCTGTTTCTACTAGTCAAGAGTCCTATGTCTACTTAACAGGAATCAGTTGTCTACTTGTCTGGAATCATGTGTCTAATTCCTAAGGATCCTGTTTCTACTAGTGAAGAGTCCCGTGTCTACGTAACAGGAATCATGTGTCTACTAGTCATGAGCCACAGCTCAAACCATATTTCAAAACAGACTTCTTCCACAAATAAAAGTTTGACATAAAATTTTGACCTGCTGACAGTAGGTGTCAAAGGCAACAAATCCGTTCTTGTACATGGAGGCAGCAAAGAATGTAATGGCAGGTTCTGGGGAGCGAAGCAGGACTTCTGCTAGGGACAGGATTGCAGGGAAGTAATCTCTCATCACCTAAAAATCAACACAACAGGTCAAGATGTTTCTCAAAGAATTAATCAATACTGCATGTACTGAATTATCACAATTACATGTACTTAAGAAGCAATCAAATGTAACAAAACTACATGTATTTTCACAATTACAGTGTATACATGTAAATACAAGACAAAAATTGGAAGAACAAGCACCTGTGCCCTTTCCCTGAAGGCCTCCTGCAGCAGAACCTCAGTGAAGGCCCCTGACCTAATTTTGTTTCTGATGAGGCTCTCTACGGGTTTCTTGCGATCAGTTGAGTACAAAATCAGCAATATGAACAGATCTATTACTTTGTGATCAGAGGGCTGCTTCACCGAATCTATTGCCTGTAAAAGTAAGAGATATATTTTCTCCTACAATTAATAAATCTAAATTTACACTGTATATTCATATTTAAATCAATGATTCTCATGTAGAATTACAAAGGTACACTTCAAATACCCAACTCTGCACTGTATTACTGATCTGTTAATATAAATGTCAGAGTGCTTAAAAAATATTGCAAATGGCATACATGTACCTTTATCCATGCCTCAGCCACACTCTTTTGAAACCTGATTCCTGATTTGATGGCATCCAATGTTAAAGACTCTACACCTCTTGTTTCATCTCCAGATAGATTTCTGAAAATGCAAGTATTTGATAGGGATGTTAGAATCAGTCATGCAGTCACAGTACTAATCATAGAATAAAAATGGACTAACTTCACAGTTTTTGTACATGTATATGCCTCCTACCTCCTGTTAATCGTTTCATGCGGTGTTGATGTGGCTAATGGAAAACTGGATGTAAAATCCAGGTTCTGTCGAATTTCAGTGACAACCTACAAACAATATCTTATCACTCATTTATTTGGGATTTGGAATTATTTTGGTACCTAACATAGAAAACTATGGCTATTGACTCTTTCTCCTCTGTGATGAAATATTTAATTCAAGACAGCTAGGATGCACAATGCAAGACCTTTCCACGAAGTTAGGATCTTAATATGCTCATATTAAAATTAAAACTATCTTACACTTGTACGTCAGTCTACAGTACAATATACAATTGTAAAATGAGGCCCTCCTACCTCCTGAGCATCAGCTGGCGTGACAGACTGAAGAAGAAAGCGGATGACTACAGGTAAATTCTCCATCTCCACTGTGGACAGAGTCTGTAAAACTGATCCTCGAACCTATGTTTAACATGAAATAGATCAGACATTATATCTAGCTTATTGTACACCAACATAAAGAGTCTGTAGAACTAATCCTCAAATCTACGTATAACAAGAAACACTTTAGACATTATGTCTAGCCTAGAGTACACTGAAACCTACTTACATGCACATCTATTACAGTCCTCATAATACATTACATATACTCCCAAAAAGACCACATACAGTCAAACCTCGTTATTTCAAACTCGATGGGACCAAGAAAAAACTGTGAGATATCCGAGGGTTCGAGATATCAAGGGTATAATACTTAAGAAATACATGGTAAGGACTTCCCAATCACTTTGACATATCCATGCTATTCGAGATATCCATGTTTGAGATACCGAAGTTCAACTGTACTTAGAAACATATTAATTTCTTACATACTGTAAAAGTGGTTATTTACGCGTGGGGAAAATTTACACTACTTACGCGGTAAGCTTAGAACCGCGTAAAATACCCCCGCGCGTATGGTCACAAAATTTCAAACTTCTGGAATCATTCTAGACTATTACTTATACCGTTAGACCGGTCGAACCAGTTGTATATTAATCGTGGTATTGAACGCACGTGAGTAGATAATTACATCACAAACAGTGATGAAAACGTATCTGTTCATTTTTTTAATTGTGCAATAAAAAATGCATAGATCTTCATTTTAAATATTTTAAAGCAACGTCCCGGAATTAAAAACTTCAAAACATCGATGCTCATTTTCATTTCCTTTGTATGTACGTGTATGTCCCTCTTAATTTCAAATAATTAGTCCAAAATGTTACACAAACTCAGTCACTAAAAACATACCTATTGAATTATCTGTCAACACTCGCCACGCAGATACAGGTAAGTAGATCCCACTTTGAAGTTTAAGCTTGCGTAAATAATTGCAATACAGCGTACACCAGTTGTTCACACTTCACCGCATTTGACTGTGCAGATCGCCGTTATATTTAGCAATCCTACAGTTTAAATTCTTTTTGTTTTGTTTGTTTGTAATTATTTCTAATTATTTTTTTCTTATTCATGCGTGTAAACCACTTGACCTTTTCAAAGGGGAACAATTCGATATTAGTTACAATGGCCGCGTAAATTTTTCTCAGTAACTCGTGCGACCGCGTATATTACACCCACGCGTAATGTTTGACAGTCACAAACGCGTACTTAACAACCAGCGTAAATAACCACTTTTACAGTATACATGTACAGTACATAGATCATCTACAGAGTAAGACTGTTATGTATAGCATATACACAGTATGTTTCTTCAGAATTAATAAATTCCTACCTCCATCAAGAGCTCTGGGTTGAGATTCAGATTAGAGAGTGCATCCAGTATGGGTACCGTCAGACTGCTCTTTTCTACCAGTAGATCCCTGATAACAACAATCATCACAGTATCATATATAAAACTATTCAAAAAATCCCTAAAAAGGCCATTTTTTTTTAATCTTTACGTAACCATACATGTACTTCTTTTGTCCTAAAACATACAGATATTATATCTACATGTATGTACATTAACCACACTCATGACTGGTAAAGTAGTAATTGTTACCTGTATTTTCATTTTGGAAAGACAAGCTGCTTTCCATTGTGATGTTAAAAGACATGCTTACCCTTTAACGTTGATCTGATAAGCAAAACTCTGTAATGTTGATCAGTTATCCTCACCTTTCTGATGTTGATCAGAGGTGTTTACCATTGTGATAATGATCAGATATTCTCACATTTTATGATGTTGAACACACTTGCCTACCCTAGTGATGTGTTCTGTGTTCAGAATCCTCCACGACCTCCAATAGACAGTTGATGACTTTGTGATGTGGGTCAGACAAACTTACCTTAGTGACATTATCACATGACTTCGTTCGGAATCTTCCGCGACCTCCGGTAGACAAATGATGATTCTGTGATGTGGATCAGACAAGCTTACCTTTGGGATGTTGCCACATGATTAGGAATCTTCTGTGACCTCCGGTAGACAAATGATGATTCTGTGACATGGATCAGACAAGCTTACCTTAGTGATGTTGCCACATGACTATGTTCTGAATCCTCCACGACCTCTGGTAGACAGGTGATGATTTCTCTCTGGATGTCCACTGACACAATGGTGATCATCTCCAGCATTTTGTCAGCCAACTCCTGCAAGGGCAGTGTGGAAAATTAAGATTGCTTAATCATGTAACGAATAGGCGAAGGGTGATTGATTTGACAATAAATACAATGTATTTTGTTCATCACTCTGTGTACAGTAGAACACAGACACAGCAAAAACACTTATAATGAATTCAGGCTTATAGCAAATTTTCATTCCCTGTAGTTTTAAAAAGTTATATTTACATTTCCAATGTCTTTGTCCGAGATAAAATTACAAATTGTAAAAATACTTTATTTCTACATAAATCTACTGGTTCATCGATAGGCGCGGTTAAAAAAAAATCACGTGCGGGGTGAGACAAATAGAGACAAAAGCGGGGCTATTAGCATGGGAATTTGCAGAATCAGGAGCATGTAAATATAAGGAATAACTGTCAGATTTTTTGGATTCATGACGATGATCAATCGATTGGCTTGCGTGATAATTTTATGCATAAACGCCTTCGGCGTTTATGCAAATTATCACGCAAGCCAATCGATTGATCACATCATGAATCCAAAAAATAAGACAGTTATTCCTTAAATAAACATAACAGATTTAATGAATGTATAACAAATCAAAATTTGTCAACCCTCGCACTTCACTAAAAGTGTTTTATTGTACATATGTGGGGAATACCTGAGCAAACTTATCTTTCTAGAGTAATCGATGTAAATTTACCACTCAACAGACAAAAAAATTTTTTACTCGTCTTTTTTCAAGTAATTTTTTAAATATACATGCTTCTTCAATGCCAGCAGCTTGACTGATTTAAAATATATCACAAAGAAATGAATGTCGTAACTCACTTTGCAATCCAAGATTCTGTCCAACCAGCGGAATTGACTCATCAGTAGTCTAGGGAGGTTTACTTTTTCTCCATGCTCCACTATACAGCTAAAGATTTAAGTAACTCAATTCAATATAGTTATCTACATGTATATGTACATTCAAAGTCTCTCCATATGACATTTTATACTACTCAATTCTCATTCTCCATGTGACATTTTATACTACTCACTCCTCATTCTCCATGTGACATTTTATATTTTTATACTTTCACATTTTTTATATTATTATACTTTCATGTTAGATACTAAAATCTGATTGATTAGAGGCATTTCAAATGCAAATCATGCGCGTCAGTTGTGCGTTTGAAGGAAGCCAAAAAACATGACGTCAATAAAAGCTTGCATCCAATGTAGCTTACTTGAAAACAACAAATAACAGACAAAACATGTTTGCAAGTGCAGAAATAATGAAACTTTAGATGATAAAGGACTCTTTGAGTATCAAACAAACAATAACGAAGTCAGTAAATCTTTATCGAAGCTTTCATATTGAGAAAAATAAAAGCAGGGAGTTTGAAAGCTTTCTAAACTTGAATGAAAAGACCATCGACGAATTTTTTTGCTGACATCCAAAACCAATAAGACACTCAGCATAATAAAATAAATGGTGCCTGTTTTGGAGGGTAACAGTTGAAAGTGACGACCCTCGGAAAATCATTGTCAACCTCCGCTGACGCATCGGTTGACCATGGTTTTCCTTGGGGTGTCAATTTCAACTGTTACCCTCCAAAACAGGCACCATTTATATACTACTCACTCCTCATTTTCCATAAACTCTGCTAACTTCTCAAGAAGACACATCATCATCTTGGACTGAAAGATAATATGGAGTGTTTTGTAAAGCAATCACATCTTAGGATATCTGAACATGCATGTCTTGTACTTCATCAAGAGGATTATGAAAATGTTTACAGTTACAGTGTACTTCTGTGACCACACCTACCTGTAGAATGTCTACTCCAATCAGCAATCTCACTAGGCTGTCTTGAGAGCTGCATCTAGCACTGAACAAAACAGTGGTACAAGCAATAAATTACAAATATCACACTCATACTAGCCTCAGACATGTACATTATTGTTGCATTTGTGATCATTTTTATTATAAAATGTATACACTGTATACATCTTTCAGACAAAAATATTTCAATCGTACCTTTCACATTTGTTCGACGTTTGTGTTGGCAGTAAGCTATAGTGAAACCTTAAAAAAAAGAAAATTGTGACTGTCTATAACAGAAATCAAATAGCTAGTGTCGGAGTAAAACAAACACTTAGTATCATTCTTCTGATTTGTCAAAAAAAAATCCACAATCATTTTTCTATGTTAATCAGTAGAGTTGTCCTTAAGAATTAAAATAGCAAGGGACATTAAAAAAGTACAACGGATTCTGGGGTTCCTCCTTTAACAGGGGGTTAGGATGGAATACCAGAATAACCGGGGGATTATGTCATTATAGGAGGGGAAATTCCCCAGCCATCGGGTATTAGGGACAACCCTGATCGGGTTGTGAGATCCTCATCATCAGTGCTTTAGATGTTGGTAGGCTAAATGTTTTAATGCTGATGTTGGACAGGCTGCCATAACAGAAATTTAAATTCTTTATATTTGTATCACTATCATACTTTTTATAGCATTCTTTTACACTATTTGTACACATTTTCTGTAAATTTTATTTTTCTTTCTTTACCTATGCTGATCTTCAATATATTCTTGGAATCCTTCAACAAATTCATCTAGCACCTGTAAAAAAAAATATGGAAAAGTCAAATTCAGATAAAAACTAGAAAACTGACCAGTCAGCAAGGGCCCCGCCGAGGGGTAGAAATATAAGGGTGCAGCTTACAGAGTGAGAATTTTAATACAAAAATTTAAAAATATATGAAGAAAAATATGCAATAACAACTGTATTTATAAAATTTCAAGATAATTCCTAAATATCCAACAACCTGTAAAGAGTATCCCTGTATTTGCATACATCCCTGTATTTACATGTAAGGCAGTAAAAAACATCATATCTATAATAACTCAATTAAATGTATATTTAAACAAGAATAAAGCATGTGTTTTATAAAATGCCAGCCTTCAGTAAATGCAAATATCATCCAGGCTTGTCCTTAACTTCAAAACAAACATCAGTTGCAGACAAAGCTTAATTTATCTTAAAGTGACAAATTAAGATAAGCCTGGAAAATTTTCTGCCCCAGACAAGATAATTAATCCCTGGGGATTAATTGTACTGCTCTCTCATCCTTTTTCAGTAATGATAGAATGAGTTTATTATCGGACTACCTGTTAAAATTAATAGTATTCTTGAATTTACATAAGGCAGCAAAAAAAAAAAAAAAAATTAATAAATAAATAAATTAATAAATAAAATAAATAAATAAAAATTAGAAAATAAAAAAAAACATATCTTTATGTATATCTTGTTTTTAGAATTCAATAAAATCATAACTCATTGTGTATTTTACCAAAATAAAGTATGAACATTATTTAAATCCACATTTCAGAGAATATAAACATCATTCAGAATTGACCTTAACTTCAAAACAAACTTCATGCAGACAGAGGTGTTAATTAATCTCATTTTGACAGAAACAGATAATGCTTTGGATTTTCTTCAAGAGGAAAGTTAATTAATCCCATGGGACTAGTTGCAGCTTTCATAGTTTACAATAGGAACATTCTCAGCAGTTATCTCTCTTTGCCCTAGCATTCATTCTAATGTCAAGTTAAGGAATATACCCCACCACCCCAGCTCCAAACTGGATGACAAAGAGAACCAAACTTAGCATCAAAATATGTCTTAATGCCTCTTCAACCAACATACCAAGTTTGAACTTAATTGGTCAACTACAAAAAAAGTTTTTAGAAAAAACAGAAAATTTGTGGACGGAAGAATGACAGACGGACAGACAGAAAGAGTGATTACTATAGGGCACCCGCAAATCCTTGCGGGGCCCTAATAAATGTAAACACTCTCTTAACAGCACAACACTTACCAAAGAATACATAATTAACTATGAGTAAACTCCTACCAAGGGAAAATTATCACTTCTCTTCACTGCTATCTGTAGATTTCTTTGAAACACTGCCTGATCAACTTCTACAAATGTTATAAGAAAACTGTATGAATGATCAGCATTTTACAAGATGCAAATAAATTGCCTACACACAGAGTTTGTAGGAAAGAAATTCTTACCCAGAACATTTTGTGACTTTCCTGTCTTGAGTGTTAATCCTGCTTTCTTCAGAACCTGACAGAATACGTTGTCTTTGTAGTATTTCTCCTCATTTTCTGAACTTTTTCTTTTCTTCCCTAGAACAAATGGGATGTATTTCTATAGAATATTAAATTACTTTAGAACTTTCTCCCCAAAATGTGCAAATGATGTGAAAATGAAGATGAATGGCATTATCCTTCTACAGTTGAACTTTGGTATCTCTAACACAGATATCTTGAATACCATGGATATGTCAAAGTGATTTGGAAGTCCCAAGCCCTTTTACTTCAAAGTTTTTTCTCTTTTTCGGTCCAATCAAGAAGTTCCAAGATAACAAGGTTTAACTATAATTCACAAAATCATATTTGTTCTTCTGTGTTCTGAATTATCTTTCTTATAATGATGAATATTCATTCATTTAAAGCATAAGTCCATTTCTTTGTTTATATTATTTTCCAATGTGTTTTAATTTTTTCAAAATCATGAATAGTCCTATAAAAATCACAAATTAAGGCATTGCAAAAATAATAGTTGAACAGTAATTCAAGTACACAGAGTGCACCAAAGCACTTCCTGGACAAGTTATTACAAAAGAAAGTCATAGGAAATGGGTGATTCTAAAATCTTAGATCAAATTTGTCAAATAAGGAATGTTGTTTTAAAAAGTAAGTGACACCAAGGTACTAATTTCACTGTAAACAAAAATCAGTCCAACTTCATTTCATTATATAACTTGTTTTGATACATCAACATGATCAAACAACTTTGATCCATATATGGACTTGCTATAAGTACTGTTATACCATAGCATGCTTAGTGTAATTACAGAGTTATCTATATTGAGAGTGTGTGTGTCATGCCCTGTATAGTGTTGGGAGATGAACAGGCTGGGATTCAGTGCACTCTCTAAGCTGATCTTGGATCAACATTATATTCATTGATTTCATACCTGTTTTTCTTTCTTCTTGGTCCGATAACTTCCTCTTAGTTTTTGACATTTTATCAGCTACCATCTGTAACTCTAAAAATCAAAAAAGTATTATAAATCAAATTGATTTTCTTTTCTTTTTTTCCAATTCAATATAATTTTCTTTTAATTTTATAGGTCTAACTATGTCTCACATTATCACGGAACTCAAAAGTTTAGAAATCAAATTCTTGTTTTACAGCAAACATATATAACTTTCTGTATTTGTATTTGATTGTTTATGCTTAACTTTACAAATTCAACTCAATGCCTTTTACTGACTAGAGTTATTAGTCTATTCATGTTGATTACAGATAGCTAAATTAAATTACAACAAGTACAAAGGCATAAAAAACTTCTATTGATGAAAATACCAAGATACAATGAAACCCGCGATACGTTGAGAAAGTACATGTAGTATGTATATAGTTAGCACTGTCAAGTGAGAATGCTAAAGAAAGTAGAGTGCTGACTTTTACCCAAGCTCAATTGTAACCTTGTTACAAGATTACTTAATCCAGTTACAAGTAACATCTCTCATTTTAAAGATGCTGATCATTTTAAACCTGTGAGTGTCTTTATCTAAGGTTATAGCTATATTCTTTTGATGATAGTTACAATGAATACAGAAAATTTTAAACCTAATGGGATGTCTTGTTTAAGGTTAAACAGGTTACACCTACATATTCCTCTGATGATAGTTACAATGAATACAGAACATTTTAAACCTAATGGGCTGTCTTGTTTAATGTTAAACAGGTTACACCTACACATTCCTCTGCTGATAATCAAGATACAATTGTAACAGATCATCTTAACCTCTAGAAAGGTCTTCTTTTTTTTTAAGGTTATAGTAGTTACACTTATATTTCCTTGACTATAATAAGATACAATGGTGACATCGATTTTAAACCCATGGGTGTCTTTTTTAAGGTTAAACTGGTTACATCTATACATCTTTTGGTGACAATCAATTACAATGGTAACAGATCATCTTAATTCCTAAGAGGGCCCTGTTTTTTTTCTTTAGGTTAAACATGTTACACTGGCTATAATAATTTATTCCTTTGATTACAATAGTAACAGATAATCTTACTGCCAAGAGGACATTTTTCTGAGGCTAAACTGGTTACAAGTGTGGCGGTCAGACGGGTTCGATCACCGGTGGCCAGATAGCTCAGTTGGTAGAGCACCTGACTGGAGATTCAGGGGGCCCTGGTTCGAATCCCGGTCTGGTCCGCTGCATTTTTCTCCTCTCCCATTACATTTGGTGCCGTGCCATGCCCTGGAAGTGACAGGTGAGAGGCCTGCCAGGGAAGAGCCTGGGTTGGTGTCTTCGGAGGCCGAAGACCTTTAAGGAGGGAGGAATGTGGCGGTCAGATGGATTCGATCGTCGGTGGCTAGATAGCTCAATTGGTAGAGCACTTGACTGGAGATTCAGGGGGCTCAGGTTCGAATCCTGGTCTGGTCCGCTGCATTTTTCTCCTCTCCCATTACACAAGTTAGAGGTTGAAATATACAGTAGCCCAACACCTGGGGCTAGTCGTTTTAAGACTCAGACTTGCTAATTTTAATGTAAACGATAGTCCATTGGACTAGCAGAATAGAAAATAACTTCTTGTCAGTTAACTTTCCATTTTCTATGTACACTGTGTTTTTTTCAGTTTTTGATTGAGAACTAGTTTAGATTGTTTCTGTTGCCAAAGTGTTTGAAACTTTAACTTGTTATGCTTTCATTTTGCTTTAAAAATTATTGGGCTAGTTAGTTTTAGGTTTGGGCTAGTATTGATCAGTAGCCCATGGGCTAGTGGGTTTTTCAGGAACATTTCAACCCCTGTCGTAACAGATCATCTTATACAGAAGCAAGAAGGGGGTCTTGTTTTTGTAACTTGTGTTACTGGTTACAAATGAACATACAGAATCATCATTTTGTTACCACTGTAACCCATGTATTGTAACCAATGTACTAATTTCTTGTCATATTTGAAAGAAAGTGAAAGTGGAAAAAAGTTTGATTAACCGTTCAGTCAGATTTGTTATTTTAGGTCTCGATCCTTCTGCTCGGCAGTAACTATAGCCTAACAGTACATTAATATCCAAATGATTAACGAATCTGATTATATATTCCAAGACATTAGATTGCAGACATGTTTCATATTTTGTAACTGATTAGTACATCTTTAACTTAAAACTTACCTGAAACACAAAACTTTATTACCAACGAAATTAAATTATAGTGTTATATGTTGATGTTTGGATTCCACAAATTTTCTATTTTCGCGCCATTTTGAAAATAGCAGGTCGTTCCTAAACTGTTCCCCTGGTCATTATTAAGTCGTTCATTGTTAAACAAGTATGCATCGTGGTTAATATTCGCCACATTATTAGTCCCCTACCGGTGAAACCGGAGGGGACTATAGGTTTCCTCTGAGTCTGTCCGTCCGTCTGTCTGTCTGTCCCTCTGTCTGTCTGTCCCTCTGTCTGTCTGTCCCACTTGGTTTTCCGCACTTTTTTCCTAAACGCTTGCAGATATTGAGCTGATTTTTGGTATGTGAGTGTATCTTGATGAGTTACAGATCAAGTTTGCATTTCGTTCCGCTTCATTGATTTTCCACGGAATTATGGCCTTTTCAATTTTTAGGGGTTTTCCGCAATTTTCTGCTAAACGCTTTCAGATATTGAGCTGATATTTGGTATGTGACTTGTAGTAGTGTGGAATATATTTAATAAATAAATGTTTTAAATTAAATGTAAATAAATTAAACTACCATAATAGATAAAATGTTGGATCCACCCCTTTATTTCCCTAGCCCTACCTGTAAACTTGTACACCTGTATATAGATAATTAGTTACCTTAGGGCAGGTCAGAGGTTTTGGTGTTTTATTGGTTTTCATTGGTAGTTTGTTTATAAAGTTGGATCTCATTGGTTTTATTCTTTTGGTCATTGGTTTTACCGCCAAAATATTCATTCTTTGTCTTGTTGAGAGATTACCAAGACTTCATTTTATGGACTCTCTCATGACCTTGACTTGGAGACTGACTTTTTTTCCACTTTTGGTAAGTACTAACTTTTCTTTATTGCTAATAGTTAATTAACTTGTGCAGTCTGTAAATATGCAATTATAATAAATCCCTTCTACACTTTATATTAATAGAATGAATGACCATGAGAGAAAGATATTTATTTTTATGATTGGAATTATTGATTTTGAAGATCAGTAATGTTATATATTGAAAGTGTAAATTGTTATGTTCAAATTACACTATATATTTTATGACCAAGATATTTGGTTACTTTGTTCAAAGTGAACAGATGATTTTTTTTATTTTAATGGAATATATATTTTAATGTATACTGTATTAAATTACAGAATCCATATACATGTTTATGACATCATACATACATGTGGTAATTAAAGCCTTTTCCCACAGAATGGTGAGGAACTATTTGTTTTAATTAGTAATATTTTTTATGCCTTAATTTATATGGGAGAAAATATGTAAAGTCTATGTATCAGTTGTAAGAGTTATCTCCCTTAATTGAGAGTCAATGTACATATAAAGATACATCTTGTCTATAATATATCATTATCAATATGTTATCTATGAGAGCTAGATGTATGTATAAATGATGCATTAATAGGATTGATTTGATGTGATATAATATTGTTGTTTTATTATATTTCAGGGCTATGTTAATATATACTGCTCACTGTGTCAATAAAATAGACCTGAACCTGACAGAGGCGTGCTTGTTTATTTACACAAATCCCTGTTACATGACTTTACCTTGATTAGTTATAGATCAAGTTTGCATTTCGCCCCGCTTCATTGATTTTTGACGGAACTATGGCATTTTCAATTCTTAACGGGAACCATGAATATGGCGGGGGCATATAGTGTTTGTCATGTCCGTCTTCCGTCCTTCTGTCAGGTAGGGAACTAGTATTGCTAATGCAATACTTTCAGAATGCTTGTTTTACTTCATAACAGCGAGCCAGTTGCAGTCAGTAATCAAATAACAAAATTTAAATAAATTAGAATTTGAAAAAAAGCTTACTTGGTTCCTTGATATATTTATAATATGCATAAATTAACAGAAAACTTTATGCTCTAAAGCATCTTAATTGTTTGCAACAAAACATTTTTTTTCAATTTTCTCTCTCAAAAAAAAAAATAACAATAAAAAAAAATTAATATATATAATGAAATAATTGAGAGTCTATATTGGTCTTTCAGTGTTGAAATCATGCATAAAAAATACTTTATAGATCCTTTAAATAACATTTTTGTATTCAAGAAAATAATATAGTTTACCATAGAAGGCAAAATTTGAAATAATTCATTGGTGAAGATTAAAATTTAAAGACAGAAATATATAGTTACCTGTTTGTTAATTTATCTGCCAGCAAGATGTGATATAACATTTTTTTTAGTCTTCTTTCTTAGCAGAGGGTCAATCTTCATTGTGCTATGTTTATTTTCCAGGCCCATAGCAACGGTTTCAGAAAGGGGGGGGAACTTCCCAAAAAACTCTTGACCAGCAAAAAAAAGAAAAAGAAAGGAAACAAAAAACTTATTTACTGTCCAAATCCTGGAAGTTGCCTGTGCTCGACCCTACAACACCAAAGTTGGGTGTCAACCAGGAAATTTACTAAAGCAAAATACTGTACTCAGAATAAAGTGCCCCCCCCCCCCGGGTGTTCTACGGGCCTGGTTTTTCCACAGAGAGTTATATTGGTGCATTAATGAGAACATCCTTCAGAGGAAAATATCTGCATGTGTGCTCTCCATTCATATAAATCTATAGTCTTCACCAACTTCATGTATATAAACTGAATATATGTTCTCCATCATATAAATCTAGAGTCTTCACCAACTTCATGTATATAAACTGAATATATGCTCTCCATTCATATAAATCTATAGTCTTCACCAACTTCAACTGTATAAACTGAATGCATGCTCTCCACTGGTATAGATCTATAGTCATCATCTACCCACAACTATATAAACTGAATGTGTGCTATAGAGCTACAGTCACCTACCAGCATTTGTGTACACTGAATGTGTGCTCTCCATTGCAGGGGCGTAGCTTCCATTGTGGCAATGAGGCAACTGCCTCACTAGATTTTTCACCACCACCACCCCTTCCCATAATCAACAATATATTGCAGATAATACATAAAATTAATGGCATTTCTTTTAACATTTTAAGCACTTCTATAAATAATGTTGAATTGAAGTTTCAACGAAATAAAAGCAAAGTTTAATAAGCTGCGCTTTCACCTTTAAATGTTTCAAAAGTTTAAGTAACCATATTTATTAACTCTTTTACATTTTTATGCCCCGCCATGAATATGGCCGGGGCATATAGTGTTTGTCATGTCCGTCTTCCGTCTAGCTGTCCTTCAGTCTGTCCTTCCGTCACACTTTGTGTTTAGCTCTGTTCAAAGCCCAGTTTCAAAGAAACTATCCAAGATATTTTTATCAAACTTCATATGCTGATAGATATTGATGAGAGCTATGCAACTGCATCAACATTTTTCGACCTTGACCTTTCCTTTGACCTTGACCTCACTTTTCTTAAATTAGTATTTAGCTCAGTTTTAAAGATACCATTCAAGATAGTGTAATCAAACTTCGTATGTTGATACATACTGATGTAAGTTATTCAACTGCATCAACATTTTTTGACCTTGACCTTTCTTTTGACCTTGACCTCACTTTTCTTAAATTAGTGTTTAGCTCAGTTTTAAAGATACCATTCAAGATAGTGTAATCAGACTTCATATGTTGATGCATACTAATGTAAGCCATTCAACTGCATCAACATTTTTTGACCTTGACCTTTCTTTTGACATTGACCTCACTTTTCTTAAATTAGTGTTTAGCTCAGTTTTAATGAAACCATTCAAGATATTTTTAACAAACTTCATATGCTGATACATACTGATAAGAGCTATTCAACTGCATCATTTTTTTTTACCTTGACCTTTCCTTTGACCTAGACCTCACTTTTCTTGAATATGTTTTTAGCTCAGTTTTAAAGATACCATTCAAGATAGTGTTATCAAACTTCATATGCTGATACATACTGATGAGAGCTATTCAACTGCATCAACATTTTTTGACCTTCACCTTTCATTTGACCTTGACCTCACTTTTCTTAAATTAGTGTCAAACTTCATATGCTGATACATACTGATGAGAGCTATTCAACTGCATCAATATTTTTTGACCTTGATCTTTCCTTTGACCATAACTTCACTTTTCTTAAATTAGTGTTTAGCTCAGTTTTAAAGAAACCATTCACAATATTTTTATCAAACTTCATATGCTAATACATGTACATACAGATGTAACCTTTTCAACTGCATCAACAATTTTTGACCTTGACTTTTCCTTTGACCTCACTTTTCTTAAATTAGTGTCAAACTTCATATGCTGACACATACTGATGTAAGCTTTTCAACTGCATCAATATTTTTTCACCTTGACTTTCCCTTTGACCTTGACCTCACTTTTCTCAATTTGTGTTTAAATGTTGTATTACTAATATACCCTCGGCGGGGCATTCATGTCCTATGGACATATTTCTAGTTTTTACAATATGAAGTATCAAGTCTTGGATAAAGAAACCAGTACAACAAATGAAATTTCATTGCATTTTAAAACCCCCAACTTGATCCATTTTCTGTCAGAGTGCCCCCCCCCTTTCCCATGACACCACCCGTAACCTGCTGGGGGCTTAAGGCGGCCCAGGACCTCTTGCTGCTTCATGTATGGTTTTGCCTCACTAGAATTTAATGTCAAGCTATGCCACTGCATTGGTGTAAATCTATATAACCATCACCTACCCAGCAACTATATAAAAAATACACAATGGCATGAATTTATTTTGGCAAAATAATTATAATTATATGCAATCTTATCAACAGCTTGAAACACAGTTGACTGGACTTGTTTACAAAGAATTTATTTGGGTATATAGGAAATAAATTCGTTATCCAGGTTTAATCAAGGGTGTACAGGGATTTACCCAGGGTTGTATTCCATACACCCTGAGGCCGAAGGGTGTATGGAATACAACCCGGGGTAAATACCCGTACACCCTTGATTGAACCTGGATAACTAATAAAATGGCATTGCATGTATCAGCACAAGGTTATATATTGCTTACAAAAACACATTTGAGTTAGATTTGCATTACATTTGTGTAATTTTTAAATTCAGTCAACAGCAGATTCTAATTCTTTGGTTTCTTTGTCTGACTGTTTCTCGTCCTTTCTCGTAAGAAGTTTATTACACTGTCTGATACTGTTACAGATCTTCTCCACCCCCCAGTCCTCCACGACCAGAGCATACTCTAGACCTATGGGTCCGTATCGTATTCGCCGGATTTTAGAACAAAAGGCAGAGGAACGCACCGCCACTCCAACTTTGTAAACAAAGTCCCTTAAGAAAGTGTACGACTCATTGACACAATGAACTTCCAAAGTAAAATGAGGGGGCTCAAATTTGATACACTTGACACCATATATTAAAGGAGGTGTAAGAGAATTCATTGGCTTCACAAGCCCCTGTTTCAGTAGATCATAAGCTTCTTGTGAATTAGGAATCACCCCCGCATAATTCAACATTCTCCACTGATGCATATTCTGAGCCAAACCACATATCTTATCCATGTCTGATTTACCCACGTGTTCGTAAGAATGACGCTTGATTTTGTTGGCCCCTGCAGTATTGTCCAAAGTGGTCCATCCTAAGGTGCCAGATAAGTGGTAAACTCTTATAAACAATTTCTTTTCTAGATTGTCCCTCAAAGCATACGAGTCGCTATTCCTATAGCCTACACAAACAGGAACGACCCCGGTACACTCATAGTCCAACCCATCATACACAGGAAGCACTTTGACGTCAGAATTTCTAAACATATCTCCACACACAAACCTGTGTTTTAAAACATTTCGCTCTGTTAATGGTGGAATGATTAAATCCTTTAGTTTGCTTGAGAAAAGATGGTTATTTCCATCCATATTGAAATCTATTGATACAACATTGGTATTTGAACTCAAAGCCAAATCAGATTTCTCTACTCTCTCTTCTAGATACGCATCTGAATTGCTAGAATCATCCCCATTATTTTTTATTCCTGATTCTGACAAATCCATAGTTTCTTCTCCAGTCTTAGAATCAATCACAGATAAACTAAGCTTAAAGCTTCCAGTGTTTTCTTCTAAGGATTTATATTGCAGCAGCTGTGGTGGTGTTTTCTTGGTAGACACTCTCTGCGAAGGCAAATTTTTGAGAGAAGTTTGTAATAAATAGGCATCTTTATGATACCTTTCTCCCGGATAACATGGTTTCTGGTTTAAGTCCTTCAGTAAAATTTCCCGCAGTGCCTTACAAAGTTCTGAGTAGGAATACTCTGGAGGCTTGTAGATACAAAATATCCCCTGTAGCTGGGATCTCCACCATGGACCAATTTTTCGAATTGGTCTTGAAATTTTTGCCATCTACAAAATTCAATTAATACATGTACTAATTAAAATTTTATCATACTGACTTTAACTGACCAAAATTTGATGAATCTGTTGTAAAGGGATGTCATGCCTATAACTGTAATGACTGAGATATCTTATATCTATATTTCTATGAAACTACATTTTTTAAAATGACTTCAAGGTTATCTATTTTAATGTCCTGACATTGCACATATACATGTATGGCGGCTATGGCCTATGTTTAAAGTGTATATATGTTAAAAGTTTGGACAAAATATGAATAGTGAAAGATTTTTAGTTGTTTTGCACATTGCACACATACATCATGTACATGAATGGTCTTTGTTAAAAGTGCATGTTAAGAGTTTGGACAAAATATGAACAATGAAAGATTTTTAGCTGTCACATTCAGCTACCATTGCTCAACTCTGCAAATGCAAATTTGCCAAACACAGATTGTTATGCTTATATCATATGCATTTTTATTTCATTTTATCATTTTTTCTGGCCCATGAACTTGGTGTTTAAAGAAGTAATATCTCTTGATAAAAAGAAAGAAATGGAATAAAAAACAAAAATTGTTTGAGTGTACCCCAAAACAAGTGAGACAACTGTACATTTTATACAAAATATGAAACATTTTTAAACAAAATAGGCCTATACACAGATACAAGGCAATTCAAGCCACATAACTGTTTAGCTCTACTGGTTGTGTATCATTTATCCATGAGTACCGAATTATCACTATTACATATAAATCTACTTTAAATTATTTACATGACTTGTTTTCTTTACCTGAAATCATCTATTAAAAACTACAGACACCTATTGACCCTAGAAGCAATAACAAATCTCTATACCTCTAATCTGCTATAATAGGTCTATTCAATCTCCTTGAAATTTAATAATGAACATAGAAAGAACAGTCCACGGCAAAACATAATTGTAACAAAAAGACGTTGGGCAAAATTACATATGGTCCAACACATGAAAAGGACAGTATCACGGTACCTTACCGTCTTGCGTAATCCAAATCAAATATTCTGAGGACATTCGGGTTGAGACATGTGTATTTTGCGTGTTGTATGTTTACCCGACTGTTGACACTTTCCTCCTGGTGTCAGCTATTGTGCATCTCGCAAATCACAAAATAGTATTATAAAACTTCAGTTAAAATCACGAACTATGATTAATATAACAGTTAAGAAGTTTTGAGATAATCTTGAAACACTCGAATCTTCTCGGGACTTTCCGGAAGAGCTCGGAAAACTTCTCGGGCCTTTCCGACAAGAGGATTTGTATGGCATGTCAAACGTCGCATATTTCGATTTTTTTATTTGTATTGTATAATTTTCCACTTATTTTCAATAATTTTCCATTTGTATAATTTGCCATTTGCATTCTGTAAATTTCTATTTGTATTGTATAATTTTACAATACAAATGGAAAAGTACCCAATTGAATACAAAAGGAAAATTATATAATACAAATGAGAAATTATTCAATATAAATGAAAAATTATGCAATACAAATGGAAAAAAATATAAAATACAAATGAAAAAAATATAGAATACAAATAAAAAAAAAAAAATATACAATACAAATGAAAAACTATTGTATACAAATAAAAATTATACAATACAAACGAAAAAAATTACAATACAAATGGAAAATTATAGAATACAAATAAAAATTATACAATACAAATAAAAAATTATACAATATAAATGAAAATTATACAATAAAAATGGAGAATTATAGAATATAAATACATATTTTTCAATACAAATGAAAAATTATACAATACAAATGGAAAATTATATAATGCAAATGGAAAAGATCGAATATTGACAATGCCATAGATTTGCTGATAATATTATTCAATTCTAACATTTAAGAGTAATCACAAAAAGGGGAGTCGGGGAAGGGGGTTATAAGACTGAAATGGCACTCACAAACTCAATTAAGGTCGTAACAACCATTGAGTCAAGTGAGGCAAATGCCTCACTAAAAATTTAGAATGTTGTGAAAAGTGAAAAAGTTTTACTTTGAACTTTAATTAATTATGTGTGTCTCTGTACTTAATCAATACTTTCAACTTTTGTTTCAATTTCTGTAAATAGATCAGCTCAACACGTGCTTCATTATAGTTTATAACGCATGTAAAATAATAATAAATTGAAACCTGAAAACGTTTAAAGATTAAGTGTTTAATTTACTTGAACCTTGGTCCCCCCCCAAGAACCCCCATCAGGACTCTACCCTTGACAAGCTTGGAACTTAAATGGCCCCAAAATCCCCTGCCTCAGTCACTAAATATTTCAGCATAGTTACGGCTTTGCAATCTAAAACTTTATATAAAAATATACCTGTTTTAAAATAATATATATTGTACAAGTAGAAATTAAGTAGAAATATTTTTATTCCCTAAGGAAAAACGTTTATGCTATATGCTTGTAAATTATTGGTTGAAAATGAAAAACATTTTGTACTTTACTGTCCTGTGTATGACAATCTTCGATTTCAATATTGTGATATTTTTGATGATAAATTATACTGTGGTACTGATCCCATTAAAGAAATTGTTAACCCATGTGATTATAATACTACAAAACGTTTATGTAACTACTTAGATAAATGTTTTTTGCAGAGGAAACAATCCCAGGGTCTATAAGGAACTATGTAAAATTGAATTGCATGTAATTATGTTATAATATTCTTCTCTTTTTTTGTCTGTTATCTGTCATTTGATTTCTTATTTTGACTGTATGCCAAAATGGCGATGTCAATAAACTGAATTGAATTGAATTATTTACTATATATAGTACCGCCTGCCCAGAGTTGTGCAACTTTAGTAAAAATATACCGGGGGGGGGGGGGGGGGGTATACTACTGAAGTTCAATCTGCAGTATTACTATAAAAATCTAAATTTAGATTATATAAAATATTGTAGTTTAAGATTTCAAGAATAATATATTGTGTGTGCAGACAACAAAATATTAAATGCTAAAATGACGTTTTTTTCTATCTTTTAACCCCCCCTCCCTCCCCCCTTTTTTTTGAAAGGAAAAGAGATACTTGTTCAAAACTTTTATAATTATTATTTTATTAAACGATTCAACTGAGCTGAGTTGAATCGTTTAATAACTTTTAAAATCAATAATCCGTAGGCCTATATGATATCCCTAGCCTGTTTGTCATTTTGCGGTCTTTCAGCCGGTTTCTACTCTGATAAGTTGTATACATTTTACTTTGACAAGTTTGTAGTATACACTTATCCACTGGCTGTGAGTGGAATAGCTCTTTTATCAAACCCGCGACAGGAACTATTCACTGAGGGCTTGCCCGAGGGGAATAGTTCCTGTCAAGGGTTTGATGAAAGAGCTATCCCAGTCATAGCCAGTGGATAAGCGTTTTATTTTAAGATGTGTATCATAATTTCTGAGGGTTGGATTTATCTTATACTACAGTTCGATAAAAAAAAAACATGAAAAAAAAAATAATTATAAAAGTTTTGAACAAGTATTTGGAATAAGATAACACTGCTAGAATGAGCTGAAATCCTGATGACGTCACAATGCTACCGTGAAGTCAGGATGACATCATAAGTCTATAGATTGATTACAGGAAATCAAAATTGGCGGCAAAAATTGCATGAAAATTTTCCGAGGGGTGGGTAGCAAAAACTATACCCCGGGGTATAGTTTTGCTATGTGTGGAAATTTTGATACTATAAATAGAGGATATTCAATGTTTTGTAGATGAATATGGAATTTATTTCACGAGTGGGACAGGATTTTTTGATATTTTCACTCGTGCTTCGCACTCGTGAAAATATCAAAAAATCTTGTCTCACGAGTGAAATAAATTCCACATTCATCTACAAAACATTGAATTTTCTGTTTATTACGTTTTCTTTGATTTCCCTTTGCCTCTGTCTTTTCTTAACACAGTGTCATAGGCTTGACGTCATAGTTGAGAGGTTGAGACGTCATAGCTTAATTAGCAGTTGTGTGATTGAAAACATTACATAGCATGGATTTCAGCAACATATTTAGGAAGAAATTTGCAGTTTTAGCTCTATCAAGATTCTTAGTTACTATCTCTATCTTATGACAGGTTAGAAATTATTTTTTACTTACTTTGATATCCTTTCACACTGTGAGAGAATATCATTTTGGTATCCTTTCACACTGTGAGAGAATAACACTTTTATTCAGTAAATAAATCACAGTATTTCACTGTTGAAAATGTAATAAAGATAGTTATTTTACCTTCTTAACTTTATATAGGAAACATTTTAACAGAAGTATAATAATTGAGAATATACGACCAAAATTTCTGACATGGATATAAGCACTACGAAAATACGTGCCAAAATGCAAGTATACAAATACATGCTATTCGTTTCATCGATCATTACTTTAATAAACCTGATTTTAATCATGATCAGTAGTTGTAAATAGTGGCATAAACAGATAAATGCAAAACATGATCAAATGGGATCTAATCAAAATTAGGAAAAATGATTTCATGTCCTCCATTAAATAATGTGACATATATATATAGACATGAATTTCATGACATAGAGAGATCATATATAAAGGCCACATTTCAATTAGTATAATTTAATCGACAGCATTCGAAATTCAGTTAAAAAGAAGTTGAAGAAAATAGTACTAGGTTTTTATGAGGACAAAACTATGGAAAAAGTATCCAGATTCATAGAAACTCCCAAACTAAACTTGTACAGTAAAATAAAACACAATCTCAATATGGAAGAATATCTTATGCTTGAAAATAGTTTCAAGAATAGACATTCGAACAAGTGACCACTGCCTACGGATAGAAGGTGGCAGACATAAGAAAATACCTTGACACCAAAGATTATAATGCACTTCATGTAATGCTACTGATGATGAATTTCATTCATTCTTTTTACAATGTAAGAAGGTGTTGCAGTTCTTTTGTTATGTTCCCCAAAGTTGTAGCGGTTTAAAAGAAAAATTTTAAGTAACAGAAAACGGTCTTAAATTTTTTTTTTTCAGATACAACGGTATATACAGCACAATGTAGAACAATATTTAGAAACTGCATATCGACTTCCAATTTGCCATTAAATGAAGTGTAAATAAGTCACATAGCAAAATAAGTCAAGTTTTCTGTTTTTCAAACAGGGAATCCCCATTGTTCTGAAAAATTGCCTCCTTGAAACAGAATGAATTTGATATACGCATAAAGAGACAGGATTTTTCTTCAAAACTGCCATTTCCGATTTTTGTTTCAAAGAGGCATATTTTTGAAAATCACAAAAATTGAATAAAAATTATTATCCATGCATCCGAAATGCAAAACGTGCACATAAAATAGCACAGGATGCTTCAGTGTCGGAGCTGGTCTAGTGGTAAAGCGTGTGGACTCTATGTGAAGATTCTTTTTACCTGAGAATGGGTTCGAATCCTGGAATGGCATACATATTTTTTTCTTGTATAATGGAAGTATGTGTAATGTAACAATTCTCTCTTGAGAGAGAAAGAGAGAGAGGGAGAGAATGTCTAAAAGTTAATGGGTAATATTTTAAATGCATGCAGAATTAAATTGTTTTCATTGATATTGTGATCTAAAACTAAAAAGACATACATATATTTAATGTTATTATTTAGTGGCGATATCTTAAAAATAAGGTACTAACATTTTAAATAATTTAATTTTTTCATACTTATTTGTTTCATTATTGTTCTGTTAATTAGTGGCTCAGATTTAACTTGAAACAACTAAATTGAAATGACTCAGTGGAATTTCTTGGATATTGCATCAACAGCGTGATTATTGGACACATTTTTGTATATTGAAAAATGTAGCACACGCTGTCTACAGTACATCATTAATTTCAAAATGATGTGTGAGGTGCACTTGCCATTAATTGTGCTTTTTATCGCTCAAAATTTTCTCGTGCAATATGGCGACAGTGATCACATATGTGAAAAGAAAGTTTCCTAACAGGTTCCGGGGGGACCTAATACGATAACATATAAGGTTCGGCCTGCCTCTATAATAAAAGGTCCGCCATCGGTTTAATATGCAGATTTTTCTCCTTTATTGATTCGAAATTAATTTGCTTTATTAATCTTTTTAAATTATTTAAGGTATAGTTGTTATAAAAGTGTCCCTCCCAGCAAAATGGAGTTCCAGGGAC